TCCTATAGCCTCGATCGATATGACACCTATGCCTAGTAGGGTACCAGAAGAAACGGTGGCCCGGTTAAATCACGAAAAACGACACTCGGTATCTGACGTTAAACGCCTTAGCTTCAATGAATTTACCAAACGATTGAGTGGCACTAGCAGCCTACTCGTGCAAACAAATGCTAGCAACGGTAGTAGTCGGGGGAGTAGTGAGATTGATGGATCTCAGCAAATGACACCACCAAGAAGCGGTGCGTTAAGCCCTAGAGGGGGAGCCATGTCGCCGAGCGAGCGAGAGGAACGATGTGGTTGGCGAGGTAGCGTTGGTGTATTCGGCAACGAAGGTGGTTTCCTATGAAGCTAGCACTCCGACTGTTGCGTATTCGATTCCTGAGGCAAGCGATTGAACGACCAGCGCCACGGCTAGGAAGGTTGCATCTCTCTGTATTTGATACCACGAATTTTTGCTTGTTACGACTGTTTACGACGACTGCCCAAGAGCACGGCGCTATGATTTTCGATTTATGGAGCATGACAGTCCCCATGCATATTTGGAAATGTTCAGTAAATTTTTATCCATTGGAATACAGTACGACGAAATATGTTTGAGTAGCTGAAGGAAGAAGAGCATTTGTCACGATTCTGAGCTGCAAGACCCAGCTCCTGTCTTATATCCATTTATTTTTAGAAAAGAGAATTTTGTTTGTTTGTTTTGAAGGAATAGTCGATACCCTTGGGTCATCATGCAAATAGATCACCCATATTCATATTATGTATTGTCTTGGTCAGCGGTGCCCTCGTTTCCCCCCTTTTGTTGCGGTGTGATATCTCCTACCTCCCGACATTCTATTTGTCTGTTGATCCGGAATATTGGATGCTGCATATGCACCGAATTCCAGCTCGAGTGCGGCGTATGGGACTTTTGTCGTCCCTGTGGTGCGGGAGTGTCCCTCATCTTCAGCCACAGAGCTATACTACGGGTCGGAATCTTGATTACATGCTTGGCCTAGTCGCCGTGCAACAAAAAAGCCACGCCGGTATATCGTTCGGGTCTTTACCAAATCATAGTCAAGCCGGCGTAGCAATTTGGAAAGCTAATCGCACCGAGTTTGTACGAAGTATCAGCTAGTCGAATTATCTCGCACTCTGAAACCGCGATAATAAAATTTGCTGACGGCGATTTAGCCACGCCTAGATCTTCCTTCCGGTACTGGACAAGGGGATACATCAGGCATGGCCTAGAAGGTGTCGATTCTGCAGTAGTCCACTATTAACCATTATGCCCGTTACTATAGTGCCGGATTCGGGTAGATCTAACGAGTTTATCGGGTAAGGGCACATGGTAGGATCGGGTTTAATCTAGACCTGCTTGTACTTGTAAGACACTAAGAAATAGAGGATAGATGGCCTAGTTACTTTAAAGCACGATCATGCAAAGAGCAACCGGGTCAGCCAATCGCGGGGAGGGGGACGCTACTGATGAAGAAACTCGACGAAGAAACTCGACGGGTTGAGTTGTTGACTAACGAGGGAGATGACTTGGGAAAGACAACAATGCCGATGGAATTTAATAAATCGGGTTACTATTGAGATCAGATGAGCAGCCCATTTTGCCGAGCTTACATACGAGTACAAGTACGTTTTCCTTATGTACATGTAACTATGCTGTTCGGAAGCTGTTCGGAATGGAAATGAAGTCAGAAATTAGAAATCAGTCTTCTATTACTAGCTCCGATTTATCGTCAGGCCTAGAGTGACATTGTCATTAGTGGTGGTACTCGAAAAGCGAATCCGGTTTACGTTATCCACCTCTCCGGCCCCCAACATGCACAGCGTTCCACAGACCCTGAAGATCAAACAAATGACAAGGACCTAGTATCCTTCTTGTTAGGATACGGAAATAGGCTATGCAGCAGGCGATATCGGGTGGTACATATAACACTATAAAGAAAGAGAAGTTCAATTATAGAGGATATCAAGTATAAAAAAAAGATAAAATAAAAATTACCCAGGACCGCGCAATTCGAAAGATATACGATAAAGAGTAAAATACTTGCAAGGAAATCTAAACCGAATCAGTACCTAAGAAAGGTACCATTGGGGGCCAATCAACCCCCGGCGCAAGGTGAGGTCCTTTCAGCTCTATTGCTCCTTTGTACCTGTTAAGGCCCACTCACTCTCTCTTTAATGGCTACAACCCCTGTCCTACCATGTATGTAATTGGTAAGCCGGCCCCAGTACCATGGTCTATGCGTACCTAGGTACATAGGTAGTTTAAGTGGACCCTCCGGTGGGAAAGGGTACTTCTGCAAGCTAACCGTTTGTAGCGCTTTTAAACGAGGTACAATACCTAAGCTAACCTAACCTACCCGTTACCGTCCGTCCAATTCAAGTTCATCTCAACTTCACACTCACATCCTAGACATTCGCTAGGTTATTTCTATCCGATAAACCCGGCTTTTAAAGAGGTAAACATTGGTAGTAGTCTAGAACACATGCTAATATTTATCCCGATTCTAGCATGAATAGGTATCCACGAGGCTAATCTCAAGACGGAAGAACCATCTTTATATTTATGCCGCACACGGGTTATGTTACCCAGCTATAGGTAGCAATCTCTCGTATCTCGATATTGTGTCCTGCTATACTATAGCTTGGCCTTCACAGCTCCCTTGGCCTCCTCTGCTCTCTTCCTCTTGCGCTGGAAGCCTTCTATCTTATGAGTGATCATACCCGTCCACAGCTCTAGCCATTTCTCGTCGAACGGGGGAAGTACACGGCCGGTGGTCCCCGGAGCCGGGTCTCCGGCGATATCGCGCAGGAACTCGAAGAAAGCGCCGTAGTCAGGTGCAATCGAGTAGTAGTCTTTACCACCGCCCTTTTCGGCGACGCGCTTGCGCTCCCATTCCAGTTGCTCCGGAATTGAAGGTAGCGGCTTGGCTCGACCTGCGAGATGCCGTGCAACAGTGACGGCTTGCCATTCGTACACTCGGAACGTGAAGCCACCTCCGAGCTAGATACAATACAATACATTAGAATTGGTCTTGTCTTTTATGGTAATATGTGTGATGAAGAACGGAAAGTCGCTGGTTAAGCTGGGTTGTATAGGAAAACCTACCATTCCGACGAACGTCAAAGTCGGGTCCTCAATATCCCACGTATGCTGGTAAACCCCGGGAAGGCGACGATACGCATTCCTTATTCGCTCTTGCACGTGCTCGAGGTACGGCACGCTGAATGTGTACCCGGTTCCGAAGATAATATAGTCTACGTCGTCGAGGGTCGAGCCATCGGCGAAGAAGACACGTCCGGTCTCCGGGTCTAGACGTGTGATCTCCTTCTTAATAGCTATGTCAGGATGTAAGAACGGCTCCCACCCAAAGGCTGGAATGGGTTCCCCTCTTAAAGCTGCGTAGACGGGGCTCTGAGCTGCCTCGAGGACTTCATGGACGACCTCGTGTGCTGATATAGAGCCGCCTACTACGACCACTCGCTATTTAGCAGGTTAGCGACCACAAACTAGGCGTATTACGTATAAATGGGCTGGGGTAGCAGGTGGTGGTCACTTTGCGATATTCGCTTGCTTACCTTTCCTTTGAACTTGGATCCATTGCGGAAATGCTTGCTGTGCTGTATCCTCCCAGGGAACTTCTGGTCGTATTCTACGAGTCCCGGGATGTTTGGGAACCAGGGGACGTTGTAATGCCCCGTCGCAACAACAAGAGCGTCGAACGTCTCCCTCCACCAGTAATTTCTCCCCGAGGATTCTTTCCTCAGCGTTAGCACCCACTCACTGCCGACCTTCTCGGCTCGCTCCACAGTCGTATTTAACTCGACAAGCTTCTCATGGCCGCCGCGGGAGAATATACCCTCAATCCACTCGCGGATTACGGTGTGGTGTCGGAAAGGAGCGCCGGGGCCGTATTCAGCTAACGTTCGAGGTGATAGCTTGTTCGGGAAGGGCTCTTGAGTATAGCTCATGATAGCCGGCGTAATGTTGCTATGCAGATTCTCATGGAGCGCTGTATCCGAGAAGCGTTGCTGGTGCCCGTTAATCTCATCAGATGGTAGCGTAACGGCCGGCAGCTGTTTTGGCAGAGGGACAGCAACGTCGGCCTTGCCGGATACCAAATCACTAAGAGACGGGAATCCCGTTGGTAGGTGAGGCGTGTAGACCCAAGTGCCGCCGATCCCGGCTCGCCGGTCGAATACCCGGATTGTGTCAAACGCCTGCTCCTTTACCAGCGCATCCGTGGCTATTGCACCGGAGGGGCCGGCCCCGATAACAGCCACGCGCCGCGCCTTGACCGCCATGGTAGCCTATAGTAACTATAAGACGGAGTGTCTAGATGGCGGAATACTAGACGTCTTATCCCCTTTACGGCCGTTGCCTGCGAGCTCACTTATGCGACTTTGCTTAAGCGTCTTAAGGAGAGAAGCCCAGAAATGCAAACGGGTGGCTTTTATGTCCCAACCATTTAGCCAATCTCCTCCCTCGAGGAGAAAGGTAGGCAGCTCGCTCGCCGATAAGCATGCTGCATGGCGTGACACTTGCCGCGATGGCGTCTGCGTCTGACCCAAGCACGCCAAAGAAGTTGGCCGTATTGGATGGTACAGTAGGGATTATAGACATTGTGGAGAACTATCTACTGCTACTTACTCCTCTCTCTACCATTAAAATTGTATGCGGCCTCACCACACGCCGCATTCGAGGTTCGGGCAGGGTAGCGATCACGCCATCCTATACTATCTGCACGTAACAGGCGTCTGTATGGCCACACAGCACTCCTCAAATTCGCAACCCCTCTTGCCTCCGGCAGGCTTCCAATATGTAGTACAGCGGCAAGGAGTGCTTTAAAGCGAATAACATCCATGTTGTCCTGTAAAAGGATGGATACCCCGTCTTATTGCTCATGCACAATTGCTTGCAGGATTTGGTAAAGATATAGCGAATAAATACAAATCGGATACATATTATAACGTAAAGATTTATTTATCCAAGTTGACCCGAAATGCCGTCCGCCGTCGTGCCCGGTCGACTGCTCCCGGTCTACTTCATCGGCCATGCCGGGGTAGGCCTCCTGTTCAGCGAGTCGCCGCAAAACCGGGTCGTTCAAGACAACCTCCGTGCCATTAGCGAGGAGATCCGCGCGATATCACCCCGGCCGAAGGCCATCCTTACTTTTAGCGGACACTTTGAGGCCGGGGAGATTCACGGGCCCGGGGTAATAGAAGGTGAGCTTGGGACGTTTACCAGTTTGCTCTGAATGGCGGCTAGTTAGAGCAGCACAGGATATTATATATAACTGACCTAACCGGCGTCTTGCGTATATAATAGTCAATGTGAAGAAAGGAACACATATCATGGTGAGGGGGCATGCATACCATCCGTCCCGACTAAAGGAGACGGGAAAGTATCTAAGATAAAAAATACTAATATTAATACGTGTATAAAACCCAAATTAGCACGATTTTGTCAACGACTTCCACGACTCGGCGCCATTCGTCTACGAGTACGACTGGCCGCACGAGGACGCCCCCGAGCTGGCAACAGAAGTGTGGAGACACCTCACGAAGTATGGGATCAAGGCCAAGCGGGTGGAACGCGGTGTCGATCACGGCGTCTGGGTCCCCTTCAAGCTCATGTTTCCGCCCGAGAACCCGCTCGGCGTTCCCGTAGTCCAGGTCTCTACGTTCTACGGCTACGATCTAGAGAGCCAAATTCGGCTGGGAGAGGCTGTTGCGCCGCTCCGGTGAGTGCACACACACACTCACACACACACACACACACATATATATATATCTATATTAATTAATGTTCTCACCACACTCCAAATCAACCAACTACCTAACCTACACGTTACTAACGCGAATTCCCTTCCCCAACGCCAGCAACGAGGGCTATCTCATCGTCGCCTCCGGCATGGCCGTGCACTCCTTCCGCTCCATCGCCGAGATACGGCGTGCGCCGTCCGCCGGAGCAAGGGAGCTCGCGCGGCAGCAGGTCCTAGGGGAATCGCGGAGGTTCGACGCGCATCTCCGAGCAGCTGTGGCGAAGCGCGATGCCGCGGAGGGCGCAGAGGCGCTGCTGCAGCTGGAGTCGCTGCCGGAGTTCCGCCGCTGCTCGTAGCTGCTGGGGCGGCGGGAGACGCCGAGGAGGTTGTGCCGTTGGGCGTTGATGTGGTCGAGCCTGGCATGTCGTATTTGAATGTGCGGTTTACTTAGATGTTATTTTATTTGACTGGCTGGATTTATGTAAGAGTTATTTTGGGTCGTAACTCGTGATATCATTCCGTCTTGAGTTTCCGAGGGTCAGACTTGATTATAGCATCGAATTAACTGCCAGTGAGGTTTAATATAACTACAGCTTAGTATGTAAGAATCAAACGGGAAGGGAGTCAGGATATAAATATTTCATGATGATTTAGTATATTTGCTCCTTTGCAAAGGCGTGGAGTAAATAGTAACTGGCCAGTCTCGACAAGCATGAATAAATTCAAGGCTAGTTATATCTATAATCATGCTATCCTAAACCCAGACTACATAAATAGATCTCCCTAGTTTATATATACCAATAATACTTATATTTGCGGCTTTGGGAGTATCGGGATAATAGTGGGGTTAGTATGTCTGGATTGGATGAGTGATTCGAGCTTTTGTGTAATAGGTCAATTGTTCGTTAGTTTCGAATAATCAGAGATTTGTTAAATCCTGTACTTAAAGTCATGGATACCTATCTCTATGAAGATAAATACACAGGCCTTAGGGCTAATATAACAACAGCGAGTTGAAAGTGTCAGCTGTATACCGGATCATAACCAAATTTTGATGCGACCACGGCCCATCTACAATTCGTCTCTTTTGGTATATGTACATATGATACATTAACTTCGATAATGCATTTATCGACGGCCATGAGCGATACCATAGATCCTCTTGCTGTATTTCCATAAGCCTCTGTACTTGGGCTTCTGCCTCTTGGCTTCCCATCCCCTCGGCTTCTTGTCCTCCTTGAGAGAGTAGACTCTCTTGAACTTGAACTGGACATCGGCGCCCGGAATACCGGCCTTCTCCATAACGCCAGCAGTACCCTCATCCCAGATCGTTCGGAAGATGTTAAAGCCAACTGGCGTGAGACCAAACTTGTCTCGGTAACTCTTGAGACTGAATCCGTCTCGACCAGAGTATAACTCTCGCAGCTTAGCAATATCTATGTTCTCCCCCGGCTTCTGTTCCAGAATAAACACAGATAATCGGTGGTATGGCGCGCCCTTTTGAGAGAAGGCGGGAAGCCACGGTACGGCGAGTTGAGATTCTTTATTGACCTTACCTAGGGGCAAAGAGGGTTGGTTAGGAGAGATGGGAACGTTTGCCGCAAGATAGTGACACCGCCTATCAAAGGAGTCGGTCTCTGCGTTGGGAACATCTGAGTCCATAACTACGACTGAGACGAGGCGCTCGCCAGGGTTGAAGACTTGAACTTTCAAGCGCGGCGGCACTTCCGTAATTCGGGAATCAAGAATAGCACCGGGGGTAACCTTGATTCGTCGGAAGAAAAGTTGAACATCTACAACGGGATCAAACTTGGGTAGCACATCGGGGACGATGTTCAGCTGTTTGATACGTTGTGTGATGATACGGTAAGGTAAGCCACGCCATTTACGCTCAGCATAATACCGGTAAATTGGCTTGTCCATGTCACCTGTGTAATTGTTAGCATTTATATATCTTAAACACCCCAAATATCAATAAATAATATGACCAATGATAGTTAAGCAGGGGAAAAAAAAGAGACCAATAAAAACAAAACATACAACACCAGGGATTCGCTGGTCGTCACCGACCCAACTACTAATCTGGCAGTATCTGGTTTATCGATGGGAGAGCGGACGGGATCCCGAGTTTTCCAGATCTTATGGTCGTATGTAATGGAAATGTTGGTTATTCTTTTTTATAAAGCAGTCCAATTGCCAAGTCCACCCCAGACTCAGCAATCAGGTGCTTTTGAAGATGGCCCAACCCCTATCATCCCACCACATCCCAGTAATATATATTTCGCATCAAAATTCAAGGAAACCCAATGCAACATCTAATGGCTCAAATACTTCCAGAAAAAAGAAAAAACTTACCGAGGCCGTCTTCGAATTTCCGCTTGACAACAGGGTCGTTGACATCCGCCAGGATTTTAAGCTGCTCCACCCACTTCTTCAAGCCGGCAAGACGCATATTCTTCCTGTACTCGCCGCCGGGGACCTGATCAGCCGGAGTTTCCTCCAGCCTCTTAATCTTGGCCAGCTCTTTTGCGATAGCCCGGATCTTCTCCTGTCGGTCCTCCTGCAGGATCTTGCGTGCCTCCTGGAAGCATTGGTAAGGCAGCTGCTCGAAGGGCACATTCTCAGAGGTACGGATGGCGGCACGCCGACGTCGCGAACCAACCGGCGGCGTACCCATGCGGACGAGCTTCCGCTCGGCCCAATGCGCCGTAGTAGTCTCCCGGTCCATCAATCGCTCCCTCATGCGCAATTTCTCGGGTTCTGCTCCATTGGCGCTTGAATTGGGCTTGCTGGCGGCCTCTAGCTTGTCTAATGAGGTTGTCGAGGCCGTTGGTGGAGTAGAAGTAGTTGTTGTAGAACCCTCCTCATCTTGGCGTGCTGCACTTCTGGAGAAAGATCGCGATAAATGCGATGCGCCCTGGAGGAAGATGCGCTCTTGTCGAAGAGACTGCACTAAAGGTCTTGCGACCCTCTGACAGCTCGACATGGCTCGGCTCTGTCGAGACTGTGGTGGTTTGGTGGTGGGTTATAGAGGGAGGAGGATAATCGATAATTAATGTAGAAAACATGCAACTTTTTGAAGCTTGTGTCCCCATTATATCCCCACTATAAAACTAGAAGTGCCATGTCTTAGTGGACGGCACACTCCGCTATGTATTAGTAGGTACCTAGGTATCTATCGATATCAAGTAAGTACATAGGTACCTATCTACGTACCCTTAGCTTGCATCTTTAATAATTTTTCCGGGGTCGAATTGATGAATTGATGAATTGAGTCCTGCATCTTCACTTGGGATAATTGGGATATCGACAGCCTCACTGGTGAACACACTCGGAAATTCAAATCACATCGGGTACGCTCTCTAACGACCGAGGCCATGGCGAGCAAAGGTGTAAAGTGTCTTAACGAGGCTTTTAAGAGCCTAAGCCTATCATCGCAGACATGCAGAGAAGCCGTTTCGGTGCGTTTATACTCTTTTCAATAAATGGACTATAGCGAGCGTGGCTGCTGCTAACGAGCCTAGCATCGGATACCATCGTCGACATTTACTCGGTCAATGGCAACTGAAGCCCCTCTACCCAAAATCACCACCTCGGTAGATTCAGATTCCATATGGAGACCAGGTACACACCCACCCTCCCAACCACACACACACACACACACACACACACACATATATATATATATCTACCCCCGCAGCTCACGAGCCCTTCTCCGTACCCGAATCCAAGACACCCCCTCGATTCCCCATACATACTAACACCACCCAACAACAGCAACCACAGTCCCCCTAACCATCTTCAACTTCCCATCCTTCGAGCCGCAGCGCCTCGAGTCCTGGTCCGCGAAGCACTTGCACCTGCCGCTGCGGCGCGACATCCTGCACCTAGCCGTCGTATACGAGGGCGACAACACGCGGCAAGGCACCGCCTCGACCAAGACGCGCTGGGAAGTCGCCGGCTCGCACCGCAAGATGCGGCCGCAGAAGGGCTCGGGCCGCGCCCGCGTAGGCACGCGGCAGTCGCCCATGCTGCGCGGCGGCGGCAAGACCTTCGGCCCCAAGCCCCGCGACTTCGGCACCAAGCTCCCGCGCAAGGTGTACGACCTGGCCTGGCGCACCGCGCTCAGCTACCGGTACCGCCGCGGCGAGCTGCTCGTGTGCCAGGACGGCATGGACCTGCCGCTGCCCGCCGAGTTCGCCGACCTGGTGGCTGCGGGCGAGCTGCAGGACGAGCTGCAGCGCAGCTTCAAGGCGAAGTGGGTGCAGCAGGTCCTCGACGCGAACGAGTGGGGGCGTCGCTGCGGCCGCAGCACCTTCATCACGACTTCCCCTCGGGATAATCTGTTCGAGGCGTTGGAGGAGGTGCCGAATTACGGACGCGCGCTGGAAGTCGACGACGTCGATGTCAAGAATCTACTCGAGACGGGCCGTCTGGTTGTGGAGAGGGGGGCGCTTAAGGAGCTGATCGAGCGGCATCAGAGCGATATAGTCACGAGAGTGTTTGTTGCCAATGCGGCGTTGCCCAAGGCGCCTGAAAGTGGCCATGTGTTGGTAGAGTAGCACTATTTCGGCTGTATATTTATTATTCGAAGCCTTTGCAAAGTGTAAAACCTCTAAACTGCATCCCCATAAGTGGGATTAACATGTCTGTATATTGATGCCATTGGAATAACTATGTATTATTTTAAGCATCTATACCTCACTCTACGATCTACGACAAGCTCTAGCATCTTCGGTCTTTTGCTTGCAATCCCGATAAGAAGCCTGTGACCTGGAATACCTCGAGCGGCATGGTGTTTACTGACTTAGCCAGGTACCTGTACCTAATCTAGGTACGATCGACCGTATTTACCACAATGGCAATATCAAGTAGGTAATATGCGGCTTCTAGGAATGCAGATACAGATCGAAAAGTGCCAGACACACACACGGCATGATGACGTCGATCTTATGTATCGCACCCATACAAAATCTACGTCCTAGCCAATTCCGGGTTGCCTTGCCCCAACTTTTGACCCTTGGATCACGATGCGCTGCGCTTAAATAGAGCAACTTTAGAATTGCTACCTTGTGTCAGGGAGTAAAGCCCCCAATATAGTATAGTTTTAATTTACTGACGTTATAATGGGGTATGTAGTTATACCAAGTATGAACACGCGGCTTTCTAGATCTGTACCTATAACCACCTACCTATGTACCTAACCTAGTTAATATAATAAATGAATAAGTAACTAGTTAGTACATATAACTATAGGAAGTTTGTATTAGGTAGGTAGGTAGGTAGGTATACATTTCTACCAACACTTCAATTCGTGTCTCGCGTAATTTTTAATCTGTTCCTCTCCTTCTGCGTTGAAACTACAAGATCAGTATCGTGGCTTGACTTCCCGAGACACGGGACTACCTACTGCGTACTAGGCCCGAGGACAGGGAGACAAACACGTTGCTCTTCTCGGGCCGGGTCGATCTAGCCAAATACTTAGCCAACACTCTCTGGGCGCACTTAAGTCTTTGGTATTGACGAATCGTGTGCCGCTATAGCTATCTCGGAGTTGATGCCGCTGTCGAATCACATACTTTCTAGATGGCAATTCACGAATGCACGGTCCCGTTAAGTCAGGGATCGGGAGACGGGAAATCACAAGTAAAGAAGACACCTTTCGCCACCTCCATCTAATGTTGGAACCACAGCAGATCATCTTATGTTTCCCTCCATTGCTCCTCTCGAGTATGACGGGAGACTGCCTTTTACGGCATTCTCCCATGTCGAATTTTACCATCACGACTAGGGCCGTAATACTCACAACCGATCGTGTGTGGCACTCGCGGTGACGAAAGTGCCTCCGAGGTGATCATGGCATCGTTTGATTATTATTTCCCCAGCCTATCCGATATCCAAGAGATGGTCTGGTGAGAAAGCCATCTTTTGCTCCTTCCAACCCTCTCCTCGATGCTTTATAACCCAAGGTCCCCCCCAGGAGGAACTGGGTACAGAGAACGGGACCTCTGGTATATCCCTTACTAGATTCAATCCTCTCGTCCACCCCCTCCTCCCTCCCTCGCGCCGGCATAGATCCACGTATTTTCGCCGTTTCCGTAGCAAACTCCTAGAGCATATAAAAAACTGACTTAGACAACCGTAGGAAATCCTCATAGCAGAAATATAAACACCATTCATACTAGATTACCATTCACCGCAACCACAATTCATTTCGTCCGTCAGCAAGATTTGCAAGTAGGGACCAAGATTCAGCTTGAGCGTTCTGGCATATGACTATACCACGTTACGGTCTCAAGCGAGTTTTCCCTCTGATTTCGAATGCTTCCGAGTCAGCTTGTAGGAAGCATGAAGTTTTCGAGGCCTTCGACCATCGGCATACTATGGTAATCTGGCATGTCGTCGGCCGTCGCATTATGTAGAGCGTCCATCGGATAGGGCTCTTCGTGTGGGTCCGATGCTGCGACCTGCGGAAAGTTTGGCGTCAGATCTGGATGGTAAAGTATAGGTGGACTTGGTACGAAACCCCCGGGGTGGAATGAATGTGATGGAGTAACTGAGCCAAGAAGTTCCGAATCACGCATTGTCTGGCATCCTGCAGCGGAAGAGAGGCTGTCCTGGCCACCAATAATATGTCTAGGAGAGTGGCTTAAATTAACCAGCATCTGGTCGTATTTTTCGCTCGTTCCCAAGACAAATCTCTTTGCTTCATTTTCGATCCATTTGTTGATGTTGGGATCGTTGCAAGTGGAATGATCCATGAGTTGTGATTTTATTTGAGTAATCTCATTTTTCAAGTCGCTGTACTCCCCCTGAAGGAGGTTGTGCTGATTTTCTAACTCAAACTTTGTTCCTTCTAGACCCGTCACCCATTCCCTTTTCTTTTGGCGACATTTAGTCGCCGCTGTTCGATTTCGCTCAAGGAACTTGGTCCTTTTGTTCGTGTTGACGCCATGATCAGTATCATCGTCTGCGTATTGGGATCGTTGCCGTGTCTCTGTAGTTGGAGAAGAGTTTGGTGGCACAAACCCGGTCTGTCTGGGTTTATTATTTGCCCTACCCGTTATGTATGCTCTTTTATCCTTTCGAGTTACGGTCTGATGCGACGAACGAGTTGATATTTCGGATGATCGAATTGAAGACCTGGAAGAGTCAACGCTATCCGATTTGGAATGTGACGTCAGTCGATTTTTGGCACGGCGATTCGCAAGTCTTCCAGAGGTCCTAATGGAGGCCGATCTTTGAGGCGAAGGATTTGATTGGTGAGCCTTTGCCGACAGTGCGTCGGTCGAGGGACTGCTGGGGTCGGTGCTGCTTTGGGCGTATGAGTATTCATCGCCTTGGTCCATAATAAATTGGGAGTCGAGGATCTCGCTTGCAGAATATTGATCATTCCGGATATCAATACTAAAAGATATCGGCGGCATTACCATTCCTGTTTGCTACGGGACTTTTGCAAAATCTTAACCTAAGAAAGTTATCCGGGGCACGGCTAGGGAAGTGGGAGATGCAAGGCATGAATGGATCGGGCACGGATTTAATAGTTGAAAGAGTTGGAAGAGTTGGACCTCCAGCTACCCAATAGTCGAAGGACTGGTAAAGGTGGCTTGTCCATTAGAAAAATGGTCAAGGGGGGGAATTGGAAGAAAATGGACATTGCAGCATGCGAGTCAAGCACAGTTATTTTACGCCATCTAAAGCACAAAAAGCAAATCGAAGAAGGCGAGAGCAAATCGACTTATTATTAGGTCCCTATAGTTGTATTACGGTAGGTGGTGGGTGATAGGTGACGGGTGATGGGCAAGTGAGAGCAAGGGGGTTGGCAATCAGAAGCGTACTTGCTGCGTTGCTGCTCCTGCGAAGAGAATACTAAAATTTTAGGCAGGGCTTGCGAAGAAGGAAAGCGCGAGACACACAGACGGGCAGGCGGGCAGACGGGCTAGTGGAACCGGGGGAGACATTTTGGATGCATACAACCTACAGACTTGGGACCTGACTTCCTTCACCCTTCACATTTAGTACATAACCCAAGGTACATACCTACATACCTAGGTAATGGGTAGGGCCGAGTCGCGGGTTCTCCAACCTTACATGTACGTAATGAATGTGATTGACTTATTAGCCCTGCGATACCCGTTCAACATACTTCCTCCCTTTTTTATTCATGTCTACTTCCTTGCTACGCAACAACTGCATTAAGTTTCGACTGCATCAACTGCATGGCTAGACGAAACTTTGTCCTCCCAACCCCTCGTCCCCAAACCTTAGGCACCTAACGATACATCCCCGTTCTCCTAAACTGGCTACACAGGGGCGCATTCTGTACAGTGTCCCATATGAGCTTAATGGCCTTGGGCAGTGATTGAACTATGGCTAACTGGGGCGGCTGTGATTGCGGACTGGGCGGTTGAGATCCGATCTCCGATCTAAATTTATAATATTCCTTTATTTCGATCACAAGACGCCAAAGCGGCAAAGATAGGTACCCGAGCTTCGCAAATAGAGCCTTTACTTGCTAAGAGCATAGGTGAATACGAGTCGGAATATGCCAAGTCCGCATAAAAGCCTCTTAATCTACCAGTCTACCTACATCATGTATGTACTTTAAAATAATAAATTCTGTTAAGTGCCTTAGGTATTTACATAGGAGCTTACCTAGGTAGGTACCCAGGTAGATAAGCCACATGTACCTTTAATCAGTCTTCTGACAGAATCGGTTCTAGATCTCGATTAAACTTTACCACGAAGTATCGGCGCAGACTCAATGAACTATGCGTTGTTTGTGGTAAACAGAGCTCACGAGCATCTAGAATGCTCATCTTATTAGCTGTCTCGAACAGCTCCGGCAACCATACACTTAACGACAGCAACGACAAAATTATCAGTAATAATGAGCTTCAAATAGTAAATGCTATCTGGGAAGGGCTCCGACGAACGTGATGTTTATAATATGTTATTATTCTATAGACCTTTTTTTAAATTTTTTTTTTAATTTTTTTTTTGGATCTGGAGTCAAGTCTGCAAGATTTACTTCACAAATACAAATAAATACTAAAGGTATACAAATCTATATTGGGAATATACCGAAGCCACCTGATCACCACCTTCATCGAGATTAGACGCTGGTATAAGGCCCATGTGCCTATGAGCAGGGGGTATACCACATAATTAAGCAATGGAGACAGGACTTATAAGTCAGTGGATCCGCTGTAGGTTTCCTAACCGGAAAGTTTAATCGACAGCTAGACCTTGACGGAATCAACACGTTTATGATATAAAAGATTATAAAAGATTATAAAAGATTATTGTTTTGACGAGAACTGACAAAAATTGACAAGGCACGGTAAGGGATCATGCTGGCGTTTGTAGGCTCTTTCAAAAATAAGCGAACCTGATAAGTCAAAGCACCCTTACGGGGGCCACCCTAGTGGGGGCCATCTCAAAAACGCGACGTGTTCGCGATGAGGTCTATATACGAATTATTATATAATTTTATTAATTTTTAATTAATTAAAAAATAAAATTTATTATTTAAATCTTTATTTTTTTACGATTTTAAAATGCTTATTTTTTTAGCTTAATTGCGTTATGTTGCGGTGATAAATGATGTTTTCGACGGCGTATCCTTGCGGTAAGCGTTTAAAAAATATTTTATATTATAATATTATTTTATAAATTAAATATTGGGTTGTAAAATATGAGATAATTATTTAGAAAAACGTTAGAAGTTATTAAAATATTAAAAAAAGGAATTAATTAATTAGATTATTATGTTAAATTATATTGGTTATGCGTTTTTTTTATATTAATTTAAAGATATTGCAAGAAAATTATTAATTTATAATTATTAGCCTAATATTTTTGGTAAATATTAATATATATAATTTTTATTTTATTATTTTAATATTAAATCGGTTAAGGTTTATTTAATTAATTATAAATAAGTTAATGGAATTATAATTAATAATATTAATATTTTTTTTAATTAATTTAAGGCTTTTAGGATTAAGAATATTTCGGTTAGGTATATGTATAGTATTAATAAGATGGAGATTATAGAAAAGGTTAAAAATAATGGAATAATTATTAGTAAGGTTTATAAGAAATATATTGTAGTTAAAAATTGTGGTAATAAAATTTAAATATTAATTATTAAATATGTTAATGGCAATAGTTAATCTTTAAATCTTTTTATTATATATATAAATAAATATATATAATAATAATAGTTTCCTAATAATAAAAACGTTAAATTTAAAGGTTAGAAGTTTATTATATTTCTTAATAATTGGATTAATAATAATATTATATTTAAATGGTTTTATAAGGTTTTTTTAAAAGAAACGAAGTTATTAAATTATTAATAATGGTAATTATTAATTTTTAACGGTTATAGTAATTATACCACAATAAAATTCTTTTAGGAATATTTTATAAATAAAGTTTATATTATTTTTATTTTGGTATATTTATTATATATTTTATAAGTTATTAATATAAGTATATTTTTATTAATAAAATAAAATTATTGTTATAAATTTATTAAGGTATATTAATTATATTATATTTTTAATTTTGGTAAAAAGGAATTTATTATAACTTATTAAATAGTACGAAAAAAACGTTTAATTAAATATAATATATTGGTTGGTTAAAAGGTTACGGGGATTTATTTTAAGAATTAAAATAAGTTGTTAAATTATTGGTTTATGTTTTAAAAGGTTTTTAGTATTACTTTAATTTTTTTAAACTTTATTTTTAATTTAAAAAAGTTTAATTTTATTAAAAATATAACTTTAATTCTTTTAATAATATTTTTAAATTTATAAGATATTAATATTTTAGTTAAAGAGTTATCTAAAGTTAATATAATGTTTATTAAATTTGTAGTAAGGTTTTTATTTAATAAGATTGGTAAGGCCCTTAATAAAATTATTATAAAATTAATTATAATAAAAGTCTACGTTAAGTATTTAAAAAAGATATTAATAAATATAAAGTTGTAAAAATGGTATAAAGTATTATTTAATTTAAATTTAATATTTATAAATATTAAGGTTATTATAAAAAAGAAGAAGTAGTTGAAAATTTAAAAATTAAATAATATAATTATAATTAATAATTTTAATATTAATTTGAAAAATAAGGTTTTATTAGTTAAGTTAATAATAAAAGATTATATTATTATTAAAATATAATAGATTATAAATTAATTAAATTTAATTTAATTAAATAACGTTGAATTAAAATTAAGATGTTTGTTTTGAAGGTCTAAAAATTTGAGGTGGCCCCTACTAGGGTGGCCCCTGTAAGGGTGCTTTGACTTAATAGAGGATTGAATTTATTTATATACCTAAGGTATTCTACCCATCTAACTGACATGACCCCTTATTTATGTTTATGAAGAGAGATGAACTGGCTCTGGTCATTACGCATTTCAGGGTTTAATAGCATTGATCTCTTCTAAACTGCACCTACCTAGTGAAGGCAGCTAATTGTATGATATACGGTAAGTTGACATCGTAGCAAAGCACCAGGAAAGTGCGCATATGATGTGTCTATCAATTTCTACGAGGGTCGGGGCATGATGACCCCCTCGATAAGTTGTAGTGATTTCCTTCCTCCCGAAACTAAAGAAGCCCATACAGACCGGCATCTCTTCCTTTACATCACGTGAAAATAAGAAGAAAAATATTATATACCTAGCCTCGGAACACTATGTCCGGTTACGATAAAGTGTTGCAAGCCTAGAATACTACTATTTATTCGTCGATCTCCTTGGTCATGTTTACCTACCTACCTACCTAGCTACCTATACATGTCTTTTTCGATTTCGATTTTGATTTCGATTTTCCACTGCTATCCGGCTCCGGTGACTTTCGACACGTTGTTTCATCTCACTGCAGCGCCATCTCTCATATCCCAATAGTGTTTTATCGTGGCTCTCTTTGAGCTCTTACCTAGTATCATATATAGTTAGAATAAATAATAAATAAGAGCTTGAATGGATCAAGACCGCTGCTAGTTTTTTCCATGAGGCTTAGGTTTACTTTGTACATTTTACCATCTTCCTTTTCTTTAATCTACGAAACCAGGGACACTGGGACGTCGAGCACTTCGGAGGCAAATATAGTCTCTCCGGAGAACTTGATTGGCTAGATAAGTAGGGTGAAGAGTTTGGACCAATCACATCTTGGCATTAGACCCAGCTGTTGTACAACAGCGTATTGTTGGAGGCGCCTCCGAACTTGGAAGCCGATCTGGACCGTTGTAGGCTATGTATGTAGGCTACCACCTATGTAGGTAGGAACCTATGCAATGTGGCTAAAGAGGGCGCAGCAGTTAGTTCCATAGATAAAGTAAATAACGCATGGACCACTTCATTTTCCAACTAGTACAACTTTTTGAGACAATTCAATTCAACTCTCAGCTTTCAGCCCTGAGTCTTTTTTCATAACGCGTCGCGCCTTTGATCGGCCCCACACTTAAACCCTTACTCTATGTACCTAAGCCTTTGATAAATCTCCATCTTCAGAATTGTTGTATCTGGATTTTTAGCGGCATCACCCGTCAACTGTACAATGGAGTCGACTTCAACACCCCGCATCTCCGCGGCCCTCATGGATTCGTACATTGGCCACAACGTCATAATCGTTGGCAAGGTTACCCAACTCCGTGGTGACATTGCTTTTATTGAGGCTGACGGACAAGTCCAAGCCAACCTCACCAGGGTGAGTGAAAGTCGGCTCACAGCGTTGCACATGATCTAAGCTCTATCGTATACAGGATTGTCACCTCATGGTTGGAAATGGAGCTCAGGTTATCGGCAAGGTGAATCCAGACCTGTCTATTAAAGTGCTGAACGCCGTAGATCTCGGCTCTAACGTTGGTATGTATTATATTTTATATTACACTTCATTTCTTACTGTCTACAAAAGCATCGTCTTGTCTAGAATTGAGTCTCATTTAGCCACCTAATATATCGTTATCATATCTTATAGATTCTATCCTATAGTTAATCTATTATCCTGACGCCGTGTTTCGCAGATTTCCAAATATGCCAGAACGTCGTTGACGTTACACACCAGTTTAAGGGTATCTTCGTGTATCCGGAACGAGGCGGCATGAACTGACGTTTCGCACGTGGACGCGTGTCTCTGGGATGGCCGGCTGGTTCACAGCAGCAGCAGTCTTCGTCTCAGCAGTCCCAATCTCAATCCCAAAGATATGAATTGCGAAGTTTTGCTGAATCAACTAATACTACTGCTTCTTCCGTTGCTACTACTGTTACTATGAGCTCGCGGTCTTCTGAGACCCCTCGAGCAATATCGCCGCCGACTAATCAGCTATCTCAACTATCCATCCAGGAGACGCCGCAGTCCTCTCACACCGTGACTCAGTCGTTTGTACCTAATGACACCCAGTTATCCCAGCAACCACCCTCTGTTACTCAGGACACTCAGTATACTCACTACACGTATGAGGAAGCCACATCCTCGTTACGGCAACATAAAAGTAGTCGGTCATCTCAGTCCTCTCGTCATCGACGGAAACCCCCTGCGCCTTCACTTGAAAAAATTAACTACGAACCATCAGCTCCAGACCTCATCTCGGACCCAGTCCCACCCCCTGCCTCAGTTCCAATAGCGGCACCCGCCACTGTTCCTATTTCAGTCCCAGTCCCAATCCCTGCCTCGGCAGAGCCGTACTATTACATGACCTCACCCTTTCCTGTACCTCCACCCGCACAGCGACGCGGGCGGCTTTTCCGTACACGCTCAGGGAATCTGGTAACTGCCGTCGAAATCCGGCGACGTAGAGAACTAGAGCGACACGCCGAGGAGTTACTAGAGATGATCCTTGAGGATTTTGGTGATGAGCTCTCTCATACGATCACCTTCAGTCTGGACGACACCGGCCGCTGGCGCATCGCAAGGCGGGACCAGCCGGAGGTGGAGGTGTACGAAAATGCGTAGCTTAGGACCTAATTCGAGTACATTTCTCTCTGGTATGTGGGCGTCGGATGAGAGTCTTTAGATAGGAATTTCATAGGAAGGAAAATAGAAACGGTGCATATAGTCGACGACCCGCTTGTTATCGTGATGATGATTTAATATATATGTAGAAAAGGTTTGCCGTTTCATCTTTTAGACTTGAAATCCTCCTATATTTGATCTTAGATATATCTAACCTAGGTGTTAGCATGGCTATCTGCTTGATAAAACATACTGGGTTTAAATTTTTTGGACTAATTAATTTAAAATTCTACATGAGTTATTAGAAAACAAAAACCCCAACCACCACCCCCTTTAAAGAAAGGGGAACCTGTTGCGATAAAGCCGTTACTATAAAGTATACACGACGCTCTGCTCTATACATTGGATACTAGCGGCCAGGCTGTTCGAAATCAAGGTCCAGTCGTTATTCCAAGACAAGGCTTTATTTAGCAATGGATAGGAACATATGCTTATTATACGACAGTTACAACCCCCCGGGGGTCGTGGCTATATATCACCACGATTATAACAGGTACCTGGTAACGATCACATCATAACAATCATAGTCAAATAAGCTTAATGGCTCTTTAATAAAAAATGATTAAGTGTATTAGGTTGGTTCGGGATTCATAAAACATAGACTAGCAAATCAAATCATAACTACGGTCCCTACGTAGGTAGCTATTGGAAGGGGGACGGGGTTTTTATTCGTGTCCTCTATCAATACCCTCAGCATTATACACAACAGCTATGCAACTCAACATTCGTCCACAGTTCAGCCCCCAGCATTATGTTAGCTTCTTACATGAACATCATCGTCCTTCAACTCTCAAGATAAACACGATGCAACGCACAAGCATACACGAATCACATCTCAACAAAAACTTAATCAATCAATCAATCAATCAATCAAGCAGATTTCTCTATTTATTTCATTCCACTGCCCTCGACAGGACTCGTTGCTTCATCTGTAGAAGTCACCAGCTGCGCCGCAAATGCTACAAATGCCGTATCATGCGTGAGCTTTCCGAGAAAAACGCCACTTAGAAGTATAAAAAAAAAGCAAAAAATCCTTCATGGGTATCTTCACAAGCTTCCCTTTTCCTGGGCTTGTGCTGTTATCCTGTCTATGACCGAAGACCGTAGACCATAGAACAAGAGAAAAAAGTGCAAGTCAAACAGATCTACACGCCTCAATACTCCAATAAACTTATGCCGAAAGCTGAAAGTGAATCAACACGTGATCGTAGATGTGCATGAAATGCTCGTTAGGCATTGTTGTCATCTCATTTCGTCCCATTAGTATTCCGTGTCCATCTCAGCCCATTGATCCGCGTGTCTATCGTAAGTGATGCGTGGGCCGAAGTTCCCTCTTTGGTCTTCATTTTGTGTAGAAGGCGAACTACGCTGGACTACATCGATCGTGAATAAGTTACCGAAGTCTAAAGATGGGTGATTAAGCTCTTCCTCCAGCGGTGCAAGAGAACTCAGATCCAATTGGAAACCAGGGGACGATGGTATCGGCATATTAAACTGACTGATATCAGGCATCAGTTGGTTGATGGATCGTGACAGTGGCGTGTCGAAGATCTGACTATCTAGGAGGTGCGAAGGTAGAAGACCGCCCGATGAATGGCGCTTAACCGCACTGGAGCGAGGTGTTCGAGTCGGAGTACGTTGAGCCATTAGAATCTGGCTTGGGGAGTTGAGAGATCTGCCAGAGCGCATAGATCTGGTAACACTCCTAGTGACCGGTCGATGGCTTGGGGTGGGACGAGTTGGTGTCTTAAAGGGGCCACTATGATTGGCCTTTGGAGGTGGTGTTGAAGGCCGGGGCGGAGTACCAAATATGTCCACAAAGTCATCTTCCATTGAAGCCTCTCCAATCATTTCTGGACCGCTATTCTCTTTTTCTAGCTTATGCCCACCTCTTACGTTCGGATATTCAGGTGGCGTCTGTACAATATTAATAACAGCTTCACCTAGAATCCTCTGCTCTCCATCCTTGCGCGGGGACGGAAAAAGAAGTCGTCGAGTGACCCCGAGATCATCATCAAGGGCAATGGGGCTGCCGGGAGTACCACTTCCCCTCGAGTGTGTGGATCCCCGAGAATGGGTCGAGCCTTGGCAATTTGCTTCCAAATCAGATTTTCCACTTCCTTTCCTCGGGTTCATTCCAAGGCCTTGCTGTTGTGCCTGGCTGAGCGACTCAGCCACTGAGTTTTTTGGAGATAGGGATCCATCTAACGGTCCGAGAGGATCTGTAGGGAGACAAGCTTCTGAAGTTAAATTCGTCTGAGAATCGCTCTTTGTCCGTGCCTTCTTCGAACGAGGTGGTGCGGTACCATTCGCTCTCTTCTTCCGTGTTTGAGAGAGCCTCTGCTCATCTTTCTCCCATTTCTCTGCTGGCCTATGCTGTTTGAACTTGCTAAACCAAATACCACAAGCTGCGAATTGTTAGTCAATTTTAACGCTAGTCATGTCGTTTATAACCTACGATTGCAGAGTAATACTTCATTCCACGCGCTTTTGCTGTCTTTTGGGCCTAAGGACTTCTTAATAATTTCGTACGAGGTCACTTTGCCTTCGGTATCTCTCTCAAGAACATTAATGGCAGTAACGTAACCTGGCTTCTCCGAATATTCATGATACGCTGGAATTCCTTTGTGCTCCTGTTTCCAAATCTTTCGCCATGTTGGCGTCTGCAGAGCTCCACAGTTGCGACAAAATGACGGCAATTGACCTTGAGCAACAGCTTCTTCTAATTTCTGACGAATTGTTTGTCTCTTGACCAAATTCTTATTTGACTTTCCATCGGCAGGTCCGATAGCATCAGTCTGAGGGTGTGCGGGCTCTGAGTGAAGTGTAGGGAAAGTCAATTGAGGAAGAATAGGATCACTCGCAGGCACTTCTGGAAGCTCGGGCTCTGGAGGCGTCTCCCGGCTTTGTCGAAGAGTAGGTGGTTCTATTTGGCTACTGGCGATCTCTGTAGTGGGTTGTACGTTATCGTACTTCGACAAATCTTCGGGAGCTCGAGTAATTGAATGATCACCATTTAGGGACCCTAGACACTGACCCTGATCCTCCATCAAATCATCCATTTGAGTTATTTCTAAGTTTAATATATTCCCTTGTGTGGTTTTCTCTGGCGAGACTTCCTTTTCCAAGCGTTGCTGTTTAATAGTTTCCACCTCTACTCTTTCAGCTGGTAAGCACAGAGGTTCAGAAACTACGGGTGTTTTAGCAACGTCATTAGTTTTTCGACTGAGATGAGGCGGGTTATATATCGACGTCTGGGGTAACAACTCGGGAGGTCCAGGTGTCTCTGTATGGATGATAAGGTCACTTTGAATGTTGGCTGGCGCCTTCTTTGCACGACTTCGACGGGGCTTCGGCTTCGCTACCACAGGGACCTTGCGTGCTGCGTTAGTCTCCTCTATTCGGCTGTCTAACCCTCCACTCATGTATCCTGAATCGGGCTGTGGCATTGCTATGGACATTGGCGGTAGGATAGGGCTCGAAGGGGCTGGGCTCGATCGCATACTACTGTATAATGCAGATCGTGGAACCGGAGGTGATGATCCAATGTCGGGACTAGCTCCATCGGAATATGTATGAGATGGCGACGCACCCGCAGACTCCACAGGAGATCGAGCGTCCTGATTTTGGGACATGGACGGATTGGGCTCTAGGAAAGATGGCGTGAAAGAGCGGTCTATCCCTGAGCTTGATATTGATTCGCGTCTTAGGCTACTAGGAGCTAAGGAACGTGCTTGCGGGAGGCTTGAAAAACGAGAGTCAGGGACGGGCGTTGGAGCTCGTGGGATCTCTTGGCCTGCAGGAACATCTCCCGCGGAGGCAATAGGCCGGAAGTTTCGAATCGATCCTGCGGTGCTGGCAACAACTCGGAGTGACTCTTGTACAGAGCCGAACGTAGCAGTATTACTACGTTCAGCTTTAGTCATCGTAGCCCTCTTCTTGCTTCGCGGTGGTCCATCGTCCGCATCGGTGCCGTCTTCGTATCCCGATGTACTGCCCTCGGCCGGAAGAGGCTTCTTTCGTGGTCGTCCCCTAGGCCGTCCTGATGGGGGGCGGCTTGATGCTCTAGAAGCTGGACGTGACTGTGCTTTACCTCCCTTAACCGGTGCCGGCGCTTTTGCTAACTCCTCTATGACCATGCCTTGCTTTTGGGGAGCAGGCCCTTGAACTGAAGCCGGTCTGTGAAACTCTCTGACACCTGGCTCGACCGAAGCTGGACGACTCCCTGGCGCTGATCTTGGCCCTTGAAAGCTCGGTACGGGTGTATTGGCTCTAGGCTCATGATTCGGGTAAAAAGGCTGAATGGGTGTAGGAACTACGGCGGAACAAATAGGTGTTCCTTGGGGTTGTGCTAGATTTGAATGGGATTGGTTGAATGAATTCCATTCGGTAGTCTCTGAGGGGGTAGGTGTTGATGTTCTTGGAGCAGCAATCGGTTCTGTACCAGCCGCTGGGGTTGAACCGTTTCGTGCGATTCTTGGGACTGGGGTTAATTTCAGTCTAACTTCGAGAGTCTCTCTAACGCCAGTTCCGAAAGCAGCGAGTAGATTCTTCGTGATGCGCCCCGTAACTAACTGTGGAGTGTTAGATAAATTAGGTCTTTGATCGAGGCCCCAGCTCAGCATGCCCTGTCCAACTAAGGGGACGTCCGGTTCTGAATAGTCATAAGCGTAGACGGTGTAGTCCTTTTCACCATTACCAATTAGCTCCGGACTGCATTGAGCTACTGCCTGCAGGCATGGCTTAAGGTCAATAACACCGATACGGTTCTGTTCGTCCATCGGAATCGTTTGGACTTGGAGAACATGAGGCCATCGGGCAAGACATCGTTCTTGGCAATCTTTGTCGAAAGTATATTGGACTTTTACTGTACCGCAATGATTAGTCCTTGAAGCACCATTCGAGGGATCGATGATGCTTACGACCCATAGGCTTCACTTGTAGCCCATACTCATCCATGTCCTGATTACCGCCCCAGGAGGTATTGCCAACGTGGTTCGCCATACTGGCAGTGAAGAGGCCCTTGGCCACTTATGATGAAGACTTATGATGGAGACTTTTGATGCACACGAATATGCAAAGGAGAATCTTTTATGGTTAAAGATATACGATATAATTGTCGAACCCAATTTCGTGAATTATCGTTATAAAAGACGTGTCATGGTAGAGTCGTTGCAAGTTTTTATAATCCCAACACCGATTCGCTAGGATGTGAAGGTGGACTTGGGTTTAGGGACGAAGAAAAAAAGAATATTGTATGTATGCTAATTGTCGAATACAATATGAAGAACGGATAATTACACTGATTCCAATTGGAATTGGTAAAGTCCGACAATTGTCGAACAAGGGAAAAAGTTAAAGAAGTTTAGGATATTGTGAGGATATTGTAAACTGGCGGAGGTACGAAGTACGAAAGTACAAGCTGGGCGGAATAGATGTTCAGGAAGTCAAAGTACCCGGCAACGCGCTGAGGGTTAGTGGGGATTCGCGCTAATAGTTTCAATTGAAGAACGCGTTAAAGCGTGTCTCGCGATAAGACGTCACGTCACTTGATCGGGGGAGGCTGGACTTGCGCTAGGACCATCAGCAAGGGAACGCTTATCATATGGTTATCATATGGGGCCGGGATGCACAGACCACTTAATATATGCCGAGTTCGAAAAGGCGCTAATACGTATTAAGCCAACACAACATCAAGGCAGACCACCAACGCCGATAGCTGTACCTTCTTCTTGAGACAATCCAGAAAATATTATTGAATTTGTTTGTAGGGTATAAGAGGGGGGCTCCGAGGAGATATTTATACCAGCCGGTGGGCTCCACAATTCAACGGCCCCTTTAATGACTCAGCTAAATCAGGCTGTCTACACATTTTGGCCCCCCTTTACATCAACTGCATATGTTAGGTTAGGTAGGTACCTTAAAGGTGCGTAATTTAATACGTGCCAAGGCATATGGTATCGATCTCGGGAAGTCTGTAGTTAACCATCTATTTTAATAGAAAACCACTCACTGATCCCTACGCATCGATGGATTTTTTTACAAGTTCTGCGCCGAGATCTTGCTATCTCTAGCCGTTGCTGGCCTGTCATAATATACATGAAGAGGTAATGCGATACGATGTGCTATTTTGATTATTCGTCGACCCATTCCGCTTTGCCCTCTTCGTTTACAATGGTTTTTCTAGATAGAATCTCATCCACAATAGCAGCGATGCCCTGCCTACCATTTTTCCTTCGGATGAATTCTTCCCGAACCTCGTAACGGGATGATATACCTTCTTTAACGATGACTTCAACATCATGTTCCGTAGGTACACCAAAGGATTGGTACGGGTATTCGGAGTAGTCCCTATTTGTCACCAAGTTTAACTGTGGTGGGCCGCCTTGCAGTTGAAAGAAGGGCGTGGCGATATTCTTGCAACCTGGTGGGATATCTTCTAGACTAGCCGGCTGCCACTTCGGTGTTTCTCCCAAAACTAGTCGCGCTGTAACGCCCTCTGTAAAGTCAGGATGCTTCATAAACCTAGCAGCGATTTGGTATTCTCTCCGGAATGTGTCCGAAATGGACCAGTCGCGACCTAGCCTCATCTGCCTAAGAGCCACGTGAACTGAGGTTGGTGATCGTTGATGCAGAGTTTCCAGCGTCTTCTCGGCCCAGGCCTGAGTAGCACCTTGCTCTGCCTTCAAGGCAGCTATGATTTCGGCAACGTCGTTTTTGCTAAAGCATCGGTCAATGGCCTTCCGGAGTTCGCCACCCAACAGGATTGGTTCTCCAGGAGGTAAGCCGGTCGCATATTCCTCGATAGTCTTCTCGATAATAGCAAGACGTTCTGCCATGGTGTCATAATCTTTAAACCGCAACTCGGCTAACCGTGATTCCAGGCTCGGTAAACTGGTTGAGTGTAGATAGTGAGTTGCGATTCCAGAGTAAAATACGTTTGCTCCTTTTAACCGATCGCTTGTCAGGGCCAAGTAAGTACCTACAAAGCCTGCCATCCTTGGTAGGAAGAATGAGGCGCCAACATCTGGGAAAAAGCCTATCGTAGTCTCTGGCATTGCGAAGAGCGTCCTCTCGGTAGCAATTCGGAATGGAGCATGAATACTAAGTCCTACACCACCGCCCATCGTGATGCCGTCCATAAATGCGATATATGGTTTCTGATATGTCGCGATGTAGTGATCTAACTGGTATTCCTGGGAAAAGTACTCTACCGATTTGTTCTGGCCCTCTGGGCCCTCTTTGTTTTGTGTCGCTAGTTCGACCACATCGCCTCCCGCGCAAAGCGCCTTCTCACCAGCACCCTTCATAACAATCACATTTGCCATGTCAGATTTCTCCCACTCGATTAATCGAGGGAATATCTTCCTAATCATAGAGCCGTTGAGTGCGTTGTGCTTAGAGGGTCGATTAAGCTCGATGGTCCGCAGACCATATATGTTGTTGAAGACGACATCATTGGGTTCATCTGTATCGAGTTCCTTAGGAAGTTCTCTAATAGGAGTTGTAGACATCTGTACCGACAAATCAGCAGACGTTCGCTAAGAAAGTATATCTTCTTCTGATCATACTTGTGCTCGTGCCCCGGGTTGGGGACTTGTTATCTTAGCTCTTAGTGGCATAATAGAACTTGTTCTCCAGCAAGGAGAGGCAGTAGTAGCTGCTGACCCAGCTCTCCTTATCAAGATTCTGAAAGACATCTAATCCGGTTTTCCGGATGCGCAGCCCTCTACCTATATGCGCATCTAGGGACCTAGGCTTAGCTTGAAGGATCCAGAGGTCAAGTTGCGACAAGCGATTTTCGATGCAGTCGGGAGTTTCTATCCTCGGTTTAAAAAAAAAAACCAAACTCAATGATACTTAGGTACCTAGGTATCTTTTACCCGAAGTACCGGAGTACATAAATAGGTACCTCTTACAGAGTGGGCCAGGAGTACATACCTAGGTACATAGGTACCTACCTAACTGGGTACATTGAATTGGTACATAATTCAATGTACCTGGCCCTTGGCGTTTAAATCCACTGCACCAAAGCGGACCTAGACTTACCATTTAAAGCTTGACGCGCTTTAGCCAATGAAATCTTCTGAAGTAACTTGACTTTCGAGATTTCAAGGACCGAACGTATCCAAACATCTCAGTCTTGCCTCAACCTTAACAAACTGTCGCTCTTGATTCAATAATCCAACCACAACGATCAATATGGCGGACAATAAAATCCAGTAGGTTCTAAATTGCATGTATTGGTATGGCTGAAGCTAATATTATCCTTTTAGGGAGCTTCTCACCAAGCCACGCAATGAACTGACGTTCGTATTCCGCCCTGCCATCTATAGGCTTCCTCTTCTCTAACACGCGAAACAGGGAATACGAGATATCGCTTCTCGAAGAGCATGAGTTCAGCGCCGGCCCTTTATCAATTCTCCAAACCGCTGTCCGAAGCCATACGCAGGTTCTGATTTCTTGTCGCAACAACCGGAAGCTCCTAGCTCGCGTCAAGGCTTTTGACCGCCATTGTAACATGGTGCTAGAAAACGTCAAGGAGATGTGGACCGAGACACCCAAACTTTCCAGTGGAAAGAAAGGAAGACCTGTGAACAAGGACCGGTTTATCAGCAAGATGTATGTTGTGTACACTCCACACAGCTCGATGATAGGAGACCTAATTTTGCATCTTCTATAGGTTTCTAAGAGGAGATTCGGTTATCCTAGTCCTACTCAGCTAGAGAAAAAAAATTGGAACGCGGTTATGAAATACCACTCGTGTACGCGGCATATCCTTCATTATACGGTGTCTAAAATAGGTAGACAGAGCATGAAGGCCGAGACAGCATATCAATGCAGAATTATGTCTCATGGGCGTGCTCATTACAGTAATAGCAGTTTGACGAAGCTGCCTAAAAGGAAGGTATTGAGCAACAGAGAAAGCCGTGACCATGGGATGAAATAGGGCGCAGATATTATTAAATCTGATTATATACTGCACTACCGAATCGGCTCAATACCATTACAAGACCCGTAGGTGAACTAACAATTATATAGTTTCCCAACTTTCATCATCAGATTTTATCCCAGCGAGGCCCAGGAAGAAACTCGCCAATCCCCAAGCGCCCGGGTCAGGTACCTGTTCAAATCCGGAGCCTCCAACATACACTGCCCGACCCAGACTAGGCTTCATTCCCTTGGTCTCCTCAGCAGCTTTCCTCGAGGCTTCAGCGGCCTTCTTGAGATCTCCTGTCTTTCCGAGAACCTCAACAAACGGATACAGTGCGTCTATTAATGTGCGATCACCTGGCCGTGCCGGCGTATATCTTGATAACGCATCACAGCTTTGTTTGAGAGCGCCGGCCCATACTTCCGGAGATGCATCTCCTGGTGCGAATGTTCGGAGTGAATGAACAAGAGCGTTTAGGAAGATCGCAAACAGCGCCCCTGAAGTGCCATCCATTGCATTCTCGACAACGGTGACGATATGCGCGAGATCGACAATTACGTCTCCTGTTGCCGGCTTCTCCTTTAAGTGATTAAGGATAGCTGCGAATTATTAGCATTAAGTAGTCTTCTACTAATACCTCAGTGTTGACTTACCTTCAGCGCCACGCTTCAAGCCGATACCGCAGTCTCCATCCCCAACCACAGTATCATATCTAGTCACCTCTGGCTCGGCCGCTACGATAGCTTGCAAACCTGAAGCCAAGGCATCGTTGAATGCATTCCCGTTAGTCTTGAGGCCACTTGATTTGATGCTCTGATCGATGCCCGTTCCATTCTCCCTAGTAGCGGCATTCTTTGCTTCCCATGTGGTTTTCTGGATCGGTGCTGACCAGCCTGTAGCCTCACATGGATAGTCTAATAGCTGAATCATGCTCGGGCCACCAATATCGGTATTTACGACATTCAGGAGCGAAATACTAAATCCCAACCCGTTCAAGCTTGTCACTATGGTGCTCATAATTAGCGATCGACATTCATAAACACTCTCGTAACCATGCAGGAGGATAATTACTCACTGAATGTTCCGCTAAGAATCCTCGCGGGCCGAATACCCCAGGATGATCTTAGCTGCTTCATCACTTCCGCAGTGATGCCTCCTAGTTCGAGAACGCTAACACCCCCGAGGTTGTTCACAAGCAGTACTATTTCGTTAGAGTTTACGTTGAGGAACGCCCGATCCTTGTCGTTCTGGTCTAAAAGCTGTGATAGCATCGTGCCCACGAGCTCTGGAAGATCAACCTTCTTTCGTCCTGATCCTGCCTCGTTATGTATACCCATTCCAATTTCTACCTCTCCATCCTGAAGGCTCTCGGCGGCGTTAGAGCCGATCGCTCTCCCGGGCACATGCACATGATCAAGGCTGGCCCCGACGCTCACAAGATTAGCTGCGGTGAGTTTTGCGACCTGGTAAACTTCTTCGAGGCTGCGTCCCTGTGCTGCGAGAGCGCCAGCTATCTTGTGGACTAGTACTGTTCCAGCGATTCCTCTCCTACCAACTTTACCTCCCCTTTCCCTGCCAACTCCAACGTCATCGCCAACAATGACCATCTCGACCTTCAGGCCGTCAGCTTTCGCCTTCTCGACTGCCATGCCGAAATTAAGAACATCGCCAGTATAGTTCATGACGGTAACCAAGACGCCTTTGCCAGTATCCACTCTCGAAATTATAGCCCTGCGTATTTGCTCCGCGCTAGGTGATGCGAAGATGGTTCCGGCCACGGCAGCCGAGAGCAAGCCAGTACCGACGAAGGCACCGAAGCTCGGCTCATGCCCACTGCCACCACCGCTGATAATTGAGACCTGCGATGGCTCATGACTGGGTCTTTTATAGACAATCTTATTCTCAGCATCCAGGGCCACAGAAGGGTTAGTAAGGGTGAGGCTCTCGAGAGCCGAGTTCACCAGCAGAGTAGGATCGTTGATAAAATGCCTAGCGGACATCTTAAGATAATTGGGAAGAGAAGAGCTCACTTTTTATAAGATTGAAAAATGTACGTGTGAAGGTCTCGTGAATTAAAAATGGTAAAGTTTTGACGGACTGGACTTATATTATATATATTTGGTGACACAGGAAAAAGAGGGTAGACGAAACATGATTTCCATGTAGTGGATTCCGATTATTATTATTAAGTCGATACCTAATGTAGGTATGATGTAGGTGATTCAGGTACCGTGTGTTTTCGGCTTGACATACACAGTCCAAGACTTCAAGGACCATCTAATCGGTAAAGCTACTACGGAAGTGCGGGGTCTCCTCGCGGGGTTTACTAGTTAGCAGGATTCATCGGGCTTAGACACGGCATCTTCCCGACTTAGAAAAATATCGGAAAGAAGCCGTTTACAGGTTGAAATTAACTACCTAACCTAGTGCCAAACTCAAATACGGCATTGACGGTTAATGGCTAAAAGATATCACAACTGTTAAATTATGTCTAGTTACAATACCGTGTAAGTTGCACACGGAAACACCTCAACATCACATATGTTCCAGGTCATACATATGCACGACCATCCGTCCTCCCCTCCTTGCATATCAGGTGCTTAAAACATACCTCTACATAGATCTGGACCCATCTACTCTTTACAGTATTCCGATATTTCACCCCACTAAACAGCCTTAATACTACCACATGCCCATCAAATGCCGCCCGTTACACATGCCCACTAGAAACAAAGATATTACCGGAGATTCTCCTACATATACTTTGCGCCGTCAACGGACCTCTTTCCTCTTGCCTCTTGCCACTTGCCCCGAGGCTTGCGCGGCTCTCTCACCGACATTCAAGCGGCTGATCGAAACAGATATATTTACTAGGATCAGAATAAATAGCTCACCCCAAACCCTTCAAGCCTCCAGCCGCGTTTATGCACACAGACATCGCTAATATATTTCTCAACAAAAGAAAAAAAAAGAAAATCAAATTTAGTATAAGTTACCCAGGAAGCTCCAAAGGAAGTCCGAAGATGGGGGTTTCGAGTCTAACAGTATGTAATTTAAGAAAGACAGTGGTTTTTACATTACGCCAATTTTATCCATAATTTGAAGAAATTCTAGCACATACACACTTGACATGTGTCAATAAATCCGACAACATTGATATTAGCTTTCATTGCTATTGGACTGCAAACCACCTTTGGAACTGATAAAAACCTCACATACGGCAGGATACCTTTTGGTGCCCATGTTTAGTCGTATGTATTGATAGTGGCCCTAGATATTCATTTAAAATATACACAAGTAATCAAATACGAGGCTATTCAAATCATTACCACCATATACAAGATACAGGGGTACATTCTAAATATATCTCGATTTCAGATGGTGTGGAGTTTATTGTGGCAGATTGTGGCTTGCTATAGCAATTAAGGAGGTACTTATGTAAGGACTTACAGATGTGGACGCCAACCCCTCTACGGGCGTGGCTCGTGCAATTCGAGAAATATTCCTTGCCCCGCGCTAGGAATGACTCAAAAGTCTCTCCTGCACGCAACGAGATTGGTCGCAAAAAAAAAAAAAGGAAAAGAGTTTCTTTAAGGGAAGCTTGGGTTTTCCCACAATTCTTTCTCTAAGCCTAAGGCTCACGTGCAATTTTTCAGCATTCATTTCATGAGAAAGCTTATACACTGGTTCCGTAGTTTTCTTAAAGCGCGGCGTGACCGTGATTCCGTTCTCGGTGAGCCAGGAAGCACAAGCGTCACCATGTCAACAGCTCAAAATGAGCCGCCTGCAGAGGCTACCCCCCAACCAGTTCAGCCAGTTCAGCCAGCTCAGCCAGCTCAACCAGCTCAGGAAGCTATAAAAACCGAGAAAGCCCAGGCACCTACACAAAATAATAAGAGCACGAAGGGCGAGGCGGCTGAAGTTGCAAAACCGCAAAAACCCTCGGGCGCGGAATTAAAGGCCAAAGCCAAAGCAGAGAAGGCTGCAAGACGTGCCCAGGCAAAAGTGTCAAAAGAAGTCGCTAAGGGGGAAGCTGCTGTATCATCAACTCCCGGCCAGTTAGGTCCATCTGCGGGTGAAGTGAAAGGGGGCAGAGGCAAGGGCAAGCAGGATGGTGGCGCAACGACTGCCTCGGGAGCGGCAGGAAGGCCAGTAGTGTCTAAGGGGCCTGTGCCTGTTGTTCTACCCGAGCCAAAGTTCACGATACCCGAATGCTTTAGTCATCTGTCGATGGCTAAGAGAATCCCGATAACTCAAGCAGATAAAGATGTCCATCCAACTGTCTTGGCACTGGGTCAACAAATGGCCACATTCACAATCGACGAGAGTATCACGAGACTAAAAGCAACCCTTTTGGCCTTTAAGAAGGTATTTTAGTCGGTTGTGATAACACCAAGTTTGTACCTATACTAATAATTAAATAGGTCATCAATTCATACACTACCCCCCCTGGCAACACTCTCGCGAGACATTTAACTCCTCATGTATTGAATCCTCAGATTGACTACCTTACAGCATGTCGGCCGATGTGCTTTTCTATGGGGAATGCTATCCGTTGGCTTAAATTGCAGGTTAGCAAGATCGATCCTGATGTTCCTGAAGCAGAGGCGAAGAAGCAACTATGCAGCAACATAGATACCTTCATACAAGAACGAATCAGCATGGCTGATCTCGTCATAACTGAGAAGACTTCTGAGAAGATCCAAGATGGCGATGTTGTACTGACGTTTGGACGGAGTACTCTCGTCGAACAAGCCCTTCTCCAGGCTCACACCATCACTCAGAAGAAGTTTACAGTTACTATTCTCGATGACCCATATGAGAGAAAGGGGCAGACACTAGCGAAGAATCTGACCGCAGCGGGAATAAGAGTGTCTTACTGCGGCGATTTTGGTGGATTGAGATGCTATCTACAGGGCGTCACGAAGGTTATAGTTGCTGCTGAGTCTATGTTTAACAATGGATCCATGTATGCACGATCAGGTACTTGTGACCTTGCGATTGCCGCAAAGCAGCTGGATTTACCTGTTATTGTTCTCTGCGAGACCGTCAACATTACCGAGCGAGTATCAACGGATTCTCTTACGTACAACGAGATTGACCCTGAGCGAAGTTCAAGCGCCTCTTTCAGACTATTATATGATACCACACCGGACAAGTACCTATCGCTCATCATCTCGGAGCTAGGAACGGTGCAACCAACGTCAGTGCCAGACTTACTACGAAAACTTGAAGAGTCCAATTAGAAAGGGGGCCCGAGAGAATCGAGGTATTTAGATAATAGGGCGGACTCGGGCTGAATCTTTCAACCTACTTGGAGATTTCAATGATATGTCAAGGCTCCTAAGTAGTACCCATAACTGGGTAGAAAATACAAGATCGTTAAACACATGAAATATCGTGCTGCATTCTTAAGTGAAGAACATGTTGGTTTGCTCTTAATTGCTGACCCTTTATTCCGTAGCCTCTATATGTACATTGAACCGAGTATGCGAGATAGGGTACTTTTCACGCGGTTGCCGCCGCATCCCTCGCAGCCTTCCGTGCTCTCTTCTCAAGGATAGACTGTTTCCGCGCCTCCAAGATTGCCGATTGCCTCTCGTCAACGCCCTGTAACCAGTATCCGAAGCTTGCGCCGACTCCGGCAAAGACCGGGTAAGCCCATAGGGAACCCCTGTTGAAGAAAGGTCGCATCTCGAGGCCGAGTTGCCAGAAGCGGACGGCAACGCCTGTGTTAATAGGTCAGCCATAATTCGCTTGGTGGAGCGTTTGCTCTCCGATCTCTAAAGTCATACCGAAGCCTCCCCAGAAAACGACTCGATGCACCATTGCGAATGTTCGGAGCGGAGTGTTGCCTCAATTGCTCAATTGGCTGGTCTCGTAGTTTATTTCGTATGGTAGAAGCGCTCTACTTGGCCTGAAGTAGCGGTAGGCCTGCCTAGGTGGTGGAGGGTTGAGGTACTAACACTGACACACTGACGTGAAGTTCATTCGGGTTGTGAATTGGAGCCTCCAATCAAACAAGGCCGAAACTAAGCTTAGGTACGCACAGACCAGGCAAGAACAAAATGCTACAACGGAATGCGCAAGAGGTACATAGGTACTTCGTAAAGTCCCTTATCTCTTATCAGATAGGTTAGGTATGTACCTAGGTACTAATAGTACTTGCCCAAAGGCTGCCAAGTCTAATCTCCAGGGTCTACTCAACTTTCCGACCTTCACCAATTTAATCATTCGCGTTTCTTTGATCGATGGTTCGCCGGTCTCTCTTCCTCCTAATAGCATTTTGTTGCCCATCATCTAGGAAAACCGTGATAATAGAGATTTGATTCACCTCTGAATCAAATTCACATGCTCGTTCCTCCCCTCGAATAAATATTCGCGAGGCCAGATGGCCTCCGCGGCCACGACCATGGCTTCCGCCGAGCAAACGACTGTCCCAGCTACAGCTACTGGCACTGCGACTCTCGCGCCCCGAAAATTCAAGGCTTCGGATTTACCTTTGCCGTCTGCTACGCGATCCGCAATCGAGGGATTGGCCCATAGTTTTAAAAAGAAGGGCGGTTACGATGCAATTCGCAAACAAATCTGGGAAAAGTTCGAGCAGGGCGTGAGTAGTCGCGACTAGTTATCTACGGCACAATACTATATAGCTGTTTGATGTCGTATGCTAATTACCGTGACGAAATAGGACTACGAGGCCCAGGTCACCAAATCTATCCTCGAAGTCGCTGAGCAAGAACTCGAGCGTAATCCGTCGCAACTTCTAACCCTTGACCGCCGAAAGGCTGCTGCCCTTATTGATGGTGCTCTCGACCGTTCCGGTGTCTATCAAAAAGCCGAGGAAGTTCTCGACCAGCTGATCGATGTAGAAGCTATCGAGACACGGATGCGTGAACTACGCCAAATTGAAATCGGCCTCGAGGCAGCTAAGGAAGAGCAAGAACGCGGCTCCAAAACGGATGCAGAGTACGCCGCCGAATCAGCTCGCAGCCTAGATGAGCGTGACCGGATTCGACGAGAGCTTAGAGCGAAGGAAGAGCAAATCTTGGAGGAGAAACGTAAGATCGAGCGAGAGGAACGCAAGAAGAGAGAGCGCGAGAGAGAACGTGAGCTAGAAAAAGCCGAAGCTAAGCGCAAGGAGGAGCGAGATGCTCGAAGGCGCGAACGCGAAAAGAAAGAAGCAGAGCGTGAGCGCGAAAGGGAGAAGGAGAGAGAGGAACGTCGGCGCGCCAGAGAGCGAGATAGAGAAAAGGACCACGACCGACGCAGATCCAGAACCAGGTCAAGACATAGATCCCGGGACAGATCACGACATCGCGACAAGAATCGCGAGGGAGATCGTGATCGAGACCGCGATCGTAGCCGTCGTCGGGATAGCCGCGAACGACGACACCGCGAGCGGTCTCCTAGGGATGAACGTGAACGTGGGAAGCCGGAGGAACTCAAGAAACAGCTTACTAAAGAGGACCACGAGAGGCTTGAGAGGGAAGCGCTCGAAAATCTTTTGCGGGAGAGCAAAAAGAGTACTGCTAAACAACCTGAACTCGAGGTTGATGAGGCCCTCGTACCGCCTCCTCGAAGGATCAAACCAGCTTCCGCCATACAGCCTATACGTCGTGACTCGATTAAAAATTCGGATACAAAGAGGACACCCGAGCTTACGAAGTCGGAATCTAAGGATTCGGCAAAGGAGGCTGTGGATGCAAAGGAGGGAAAGGAAACGAAGACGTCTAAGGAATCTAAAGAAACTGAGGCTAAAGAGACCAAGGACAACAAGGAGTCCAAAGATACCAAGAGCAAAGAGGAGAGACGGCCTAGCCCGGCTCCTTCTCGACACCATCGTGATCGATCACGTGGTACAGAAGATGACCGAAGACGCCGTGATCGTGACCGTGTTAGAGAACGTAGTCGATCCCATGCTAGATCTGATCGAAGGGAACGGAGCAGATCAAAACACCGATCAGACCGTCGAGAACGTAGCCGTTCTAGAGACCGTGACCGGATTATAGAGAGAGATAGGGACTTTTACCGTCCAGGGCAACGAGACAGAAGTCGTTCTCGTGCGCGACCTCAGCGCGACAGACACGAGAGGAGTCGCTCACGAGATAGATACAAACCCGACCGTAGAGAGCGAAGTCGTTCTCGGCGGCCCAGGGACGATCGAGACAGACGCGACCGGAGTCGCTCACGTGCCCGTCCTGAGAAACGGGACGATCGTCGAGAAAGGTCGCGCTCACCTAAGCCTGGAGTCGAAAAACCTCGATCGCGCCCGCCCCGAAGCCGATCCCGTTCTCGGCCAGCTACTGCTAGTAAGCCTGAACTCACCGATGCCGAAGCCTGGAAGCAAGGAGAAATCAAGAAACGCGAGCAGGAAGCGAAGGCTTATTTGGCAGCGCAACGCGCGGCTCGCGAGAAGGGTCTGCCTATTCCTGGTGTCGACGATAAATGGAGTACCGGAGAGCGCTCACCCGAGACTAAGAGAGCTCGTGTCCCTGATGAGATTGACCGGTATAGGCCTGGCGATCGCGACCGAACCGACAAGTATCGGGAGCGAGATAGAGATGATCGTCGAGACAAGGAGAAGGAGCGCGACAAGGATGATCGAAGAGAGCGACGACGTAGTCGAAGCAAGAGTCGTAGTCGCCGCCAGGATCGCGATCGAAGCCGTGATAGGGATAAAAGCCAAGATCGCGAGCGTCACCGGTCCCGCGATAGATACCGTGGGGAGGGAACTCGGGATAGAGATCGCGATCATGACCGTGATCGTGACAAGTATCGCGAAAGAGACCGTGACCGCGAAACAGACCGCAATAGAGATCGCGACGGAGATAGGGATAAGCGCAGCCGTCGCGATAGAAGTAATGAATCACGACGCGACAAAGGCCGGGACCGGAGGGATAGGAGCATCGAGTCTAGGCGGGATAGGAGAGATCAAAGTCGCAGTCGCCGACGAAGCCGCAGCCCTCGTTAGTCACAGGGCCAGCCATTACTTCAAAATTTGGTAGTATTGCGGGACACAGTCCGTCGTTATCCTATCCGGGACCGGGCGCAGTAATTACTAAGGCGGATGGATTTCGACTACATGTACTATTAGGAGAGGATAGGTCGGCATAAGTTATAGCGCACAACGATGGTGCGTCTGATTCTAATATGGAGGGGGTTTGAGACCGAGATACTTGGACGTCACGGACTACAAAAAGCTATACCCTGGAACTTTGCTGGGCGTTGAAGGTTTTGCTATCTTGATAGGTGTAGCACAAGTCACAATCTGGAAAAGCTAGTTGATAGCAGGAGACAGGTACTAAGTAATAGAGTTGTTTCATGTCTGACTATTCCGTATTATTCTGGTTTTTATTCGCGTATTGTGTAGTATCTTCATAAGCATATAGCACTGTGTAATCAGCCCCGTCGATATATATCGGGGTCAATTCAAAGCGCATAGACCGGCGGTTGTTAATACTGGTTCGTTTAAATATATCTAGGTACCTAGGCGTCAAGATATGTAATACAAGATAATAATACATACATAATACACATAATACACTGCGCAACGCAATGCGCTTGCCGAAACAAGCCCCTGGAGGGTCCGCTCTTACGAAGGATGTCAAGAACTGGTTAATGTACCGGGTGTAGGAGAGGAGAAACTTTGCGTGGAATGCGGTCGCATAGAGCACCTATTGATTGCATTATTCTTGAGTATCGGAATTGAGTCTATTTCCGATAATTAGAAAATCTTCAAATCTTAGGTTAGGGGTGTGGCTTATTAAGTTATTATTAACGGAGAAGGAGAAGGAGAAGGAGAGTAATATGAGGTCAATTATAATATTGCCAAGAAACCGAACCAGGTGACGATGATACAGCAAAAGGGAGAGTGCCATACAAGGGTTTGCGGGTCGGGTGAGATCTCCAGCGGTATGAAAATAGTCTCAGCGTCGTCATTAGAGGCTTGGGGTTGGCAGGGGGTGTTGTGCGAAAGAAGAATAACAGGTAGCTACCACCTGTTAGTTACTGTAGTTAGTTACATATAGTTGGTAGAAACAACTTGAAAGTTTCCCGCCATCTATAGGAATCGAATTGATGTACCTAAGGCGTTGCGTTAAATTCACTAAAACTGTGATATTAGGTACATAGGTACCTAGGTATAAAATAATGTACCTATTGACAATAATAAGAAAGTATCGTACCAAGACGTGCCTTACTTCCTCGACCCATCTTGTGACGCGCACATCTTTTTAGGTAAGGTACCAAATGCAGGTGTCACAAGCCACAGGTTCCTAGTTAGCCAGCTCAGATTTTCCCCATCGTAGGGCGGAGTAATGGCTGTTACCTAACGTACCTCTAACCCGGGCAGGTACCTAACTGTCCAAATCAAGTACTGTTCCAAGTACGGTTCCGAGATACCAACTTGAACTAGAGAGCTGCGATCATTCCTTCTTCTTTTCTCGTCCATTCTTATTCTTCCATTTTTCCTCCGCTCTTGTGATACGCTGTTACCTGCGAGGCAGGACATATTCATATTCATTTCTTCCTTTCTATCCACTCCATATTCTGTTCAATCTATCAATCCATTCAAGTCGAAATCGCCAAACTAAACAACACCAACACCAACACCAACATTATTGACCTAGTGCGTCTTATCAACTAAACTAGGCGTATTACGACCAGTGCGGTGTGTCAGTAACAGTACGACGACACACGACACTTTTGAGACCCGACACCGATAACCCATACCTATTTCAAGGATCAGGAACCAATATACCTCCTCAATCGAACCTCAACCAACCCTCTACAACCACCCTTTTCCATTACGAACGAGAACTTTACTAGGTTACTTAGACTTCTCTTTCGGAACCCGGGGGAATTTATTCATTTTTTGGTGCTCTCCTTTTTTTCCATTTGTCTCTTTTTAGCTGCTGCATCGAGGTACTTCATCCTCGACAACTCCACCTCCGAATGCTCGAGATTCGACAGTGAGGGAAAACGTCCCCCAGTCTAAAATATATATTCCCCTCACATTGCCACCGACCGATAAACCACCTCCAACATGGCGAGCCTAGACGGCATCCTGATCGGAATCTTATCGTCCTTTGGCTCTGCCATCCTGATAGCCCTGATTTTCTTAGTCGTATACTTCTTCAGATACACGACTTCCGGTCGCATCTTTCTTGGCCGGATCGGTCGGCCTGGCGAATATGATGATGAGCAGGCATTTGCTAGGGAGGAGGCGGAGGCCCTGGAGGTGATGGATGATATGCAAAGGATAGAGTACCTAAGAGCAAAAGGTAAATACTTGCCTTACAAACCAACAGCGCCCGTGTATTTCCTTATCGTGAAGGACGGTGCATTAACAATGATGTAGCATTTATCCAAGCGAATCCGCCCGAGTCGCTTCAAACAGACATTTCTTTATCACAATACCTAGCCATACAAGAAAAGGGAGTTTCAGCGTGGGAGTTCGAGCCGGAGCTGGAAATCGCCAACTGCTTCGTTGAAGCGAGAACCGAAATTGAGTTCTTCGATTCCGAATGCACAGTTATGAGCAATCTGCCCGTACCAAAGCAGAACGAAGTCTACTACTGGGAAGCCAAGATCTACGATAAACCCGAAACCACATTGCTTAGCATCGGCATGAGCACGAAACCTTACCCTCTTTTCCGACTTCCAGGTATGCAGCTTCATACAAGTTGACCCTGCGTATCCTGAAACTAACATTTATCACACAGGCTTCCATAAATATTCCATCGCTTATACTTCCATCGGTGCTCGACGGTACAATCAGCCCTTCAACGCAACTGCTTACGGGCCTCAATATGTTCAAGGCGACGTTATCGGGGTTGGTTATCGTCCAAGGACAGGGACCATTTTCTTTACCCGTAACGGCAAGCGATTAGACGACGTAGCTCATGGCCTGAAATCCCAAAACTTCTTCCCATCTGTTGGCGCGAACGGGCCGTGTACCGTACACGTCAACTTTGGTCAGGCCGGTTTCGTATTTATCGAGGCGAACGTGAAGAAATGGGGGCTCGCTCCGATAACCGGCAGTCTGGCACCGCCGCCACCTTATGGAAGCGAACAAGGAAGCATCTTACTCGAGACCGGGCGCAGGAAAGACGAGCAGCCCGGGTCGCCGTCGAGGGGTCACGGCTATGCACACTCGGTTCAGCGGTACACTAATAGTGGCCCAGGTTTAAACCTAGGGCATGGGCGGACGAGGAGTGGCAACTTCAGAGTACTTCCGCCTACGAGTCCAGGACCACAAAGAAGTCCCACTGATATTTCCCTCGCGCAGCTGGTTCCTTCGGATGAAGCAGGTGAAGCCAGCAACGCTATCAATGCTGGTGGGGACCAAATTGTCGACATCGTTGGATTAGGTCTACACGAAGCATCACACCCACCGCCCGAGTATACCAGTCCGGAACACTCGGACGAGGATAGTTCAGGCTCCGATAGTGATCACGTTCCACTGATCAGATCAGGTCGCAGCCGCGGGGCATCCGCAGCCACAATAAGACCGAGCAACCCCCCAATTCCTAGCTATAGTGACGCTGTTCGACAAGGTGCTGGTAGGGACAGGAGCCGCAGCGACAGCGCCATGCCTAGACGGAATGGCGCGTAAAGCGGTTAGGCCGTCCATGAACCTAGAGTAGCGAAAAAATGATTTATCACTCAGCGCGGAACAGGGGAGTTTACGGTCAGGAAAGGGCGCAACACACTTTTTTGCTTTGCGTTTGCGCCGCAACTTGTTTTTGGGCTACGACAAACATTGGCATTGGGTCAGGTGACACTACTTACATGATACCTCAAGAGAAAGTTTTTTTAGGTCAATTTTTTCGCATTGTTTAGCGTCATGGTTGAGGGACGGAATGGGAGGGTTTATTACTTAGGGTTTTTTTTGTTGTTGTTGGTTTCTTGTCTCTCTCCCAAGGGGATCGAAAAAATCAAAGTACCAAACAGGGCTAAACTACTAGAACTACTACTACCTGACCTCCAGACAGGAATAGGGGATTGGGGATGGAGATGGAGATGGATTAGGTACCTAACATGTCACATACTAGAAACAATAAGAATATATCAAGGTGATATAGGCGTACTTGCCATTACGATGTTCGATATTCTTGTGTTTGGTTAAAAACGCGGGTGTGATTTGCGTGAAGTTAAGAGGTGGTGTGAAGATCGTGATTAGGGGCTTAACTAATAGGAGCTGAAAATAAACCTATAAAAATTGAAGCCTTGCTTATATGTATGCGGGTGAACACTCATATTTCTATGGTATGTAGTAATTAAAGACCGTATAGTTACTAATGTAACTCGGGGGTTATAGTTAAGTCGGGAATTGCATTGCTGGGATTTAGTTGTAAGACTTAAAAGAAAGCATAGCCTTTTAAAACAAGTAGAGAGGGGGCATTGCGAAAGTAGTAGGCTTCCTCAACATTAACTTCACCGCCTTATCCTTCTCTAGGATGCTCTCCCCGAAAACGCTGTTCCATCCCGCAAGGGGTACTATATATATAGTCATTAAAAAAACCAAGTATTACCGGAAGTTTACGGTTTTTATATTATAGAGGTTTCTCATCAAAGCTAAGTTATAGTATGGAATAATTAATTACCTAACTAATATAATAATCGTGTTCTGGCAGTTAACATGTGAGAGAAATAGAAACTTACGAGAGGTAATAACTAAAATGCAACCTTGCCTATAGATTCCTAAAATTTACTTTGCATGTTTTCTTAGTTTAGTTAGTAAGAGGAATATTAATATTTCAATGTTTACGTGTATGGTCTGTTTTAACTTGTTGCTTAATGCTTAACTCTTCATCAACACGCGCCGGGGGTGCGTTTTATATATTGAAGTTATGAATGAGGGGGGTTATTAATATACTATCTAGCATTACGCTTATATATTTCTCTCTCCATGTCTCAGCGGCGTAAATATCACCGCTGGGTTGCGGAAACATCTAAACGCAACTAACAATTAGAAAATTAATCAAAATTTCTCCTTGAATAGGAGACAAATCTCTTCTACCCGGTCGCGGCGTATAGCGTCGTTGAGTGGGATATCGTTCTCCGGGTCGATAGTCGTGTAGTCGCAGAAAGCGAAGGGCCAATCATCTGTTGGTTCCCTCAGGGGTCGCCAGACGCTGCAAGTAAGTGGTTGTTAGCAAGGTATGGTAAAAAGCGATGCTAGATAGTACTGCTTTGTAGCCTACTTCAACATGTCGAATTCCTTATCTTCCCAAAATCCTTCATTTCTGGGGAAGCACCATTCGAGAACTGTAATGGCGCCCTGCTGAGACCAGTCGCAGTGAGCGATGGCAGACGGTTGTTCATACTTATCACGGTATACCCGAAGTACGCCTGGAAAGTCGGCGTCCCTCTTCCTCACCTTTCACAGAAGGTTCACAAATCTCGTTAGCAGGGTGTAGAGAGTAAGCAGGGGAAGATGCTATTCTACGTACAGTGAGGTCAAAGGCCTCGATTCTCGAATATCGAGGGAAGTTTTTGTGTAGGGTAGCTTCGATCTCATGCCAGTAAGCATTTTGCACGGCCTTCTTGTTAATAGAAGCCAAGTCGGGATCAAGATGGGTGCTGCCATGCACAACGCAGAACCCATAAACGTCGAGCTTAAACTCATCGGAGTTCTCGATAGCGGTCACTGTCACGGGCCGATGATCAGGCCGGGTATTCCCCCTACGAGCGCCTTCGACGTGGTCTACGGGAATGTCCGTGCTAAAGGCTTTTTCACTTTCCAGGTTTGAAGTCCTGGCGACATACTGTATAGAAGTTTCCATAACTCTCTATTTAAAGATTAGTCGAGGATGCCCGTAGCTTTCGAGAAGTTAAACCTCGGGAAAGATGGAAAGGCTCATCTTTATTGAGCAAACGTCCTGGTAATGTTCCCCTGCCTCTAGCCAGAATAATGCGATGGACATTTCGTCCCAGAGAATACCCCCTATTATTCCACACTTGATGAGGCTCTGCGCAATGAGGCTCTGCATAACCCAGCGTTTTCTTCGGTATTTCTTCTTTCGGTAAACTAGCATTTTGAGCCTCAACCAGTTTGGCACCGGACAAAATGACGAAGCATATATGACACGTCAAACGTTCATTGGATTTGGGCGAATGGCTGTTGACGGGTGAGGCTGTCAACCTTGATCACGAAGGTGGTGAGTGCGACGCTGACATGCTTATCTATTAGTCTGCTATTCGTAAGATATCAGGGAAATCGCATACTAGATGTCTCGTCATTGTGTGTGAATCTTCACCTTCTTGGTTGTCACCGGTGAAAGTAATGCATATTGACCGGGCGTATATGTGAATGACGACCTGACTCTCAAGCGTGGAAGTGCATCTATTAAGCCTTTTGCTCATTATTCTTGTACTATTTACCTCAGCATGTGGTATCATCCTGAGCGATGATCATCTACCTGACTATCATATACTATTATTCATACTATTATTCATTGAGGTAGTTATATATGACTTAAATCGTCGGTTCGAGAGGCGAGTTTCTCAAGCTCTTCGATATCCCTTTCTCTAGTCTTTTGATATCACTCTGCGAGGGAAAGCCGGGTGGAATTAACCAAGTAATCTCATTATGCCTTCTGAGGCTAAACAACTTAAGGCTCAACTCGAGCAACCATGGAAGAAATGGTACGCCCACCTGAAGCCAATGAGCCGCCAGGATATCCGCGAAGGCACCGTTGTCCTACTCAAAGAGGACAGCGAGGACACCCCCCCGAGCGGTGTCCACGGGACCACAGCTTTGTACAAGAAGCAGGTTGACTTCACCGTCCCTAAGGAGAAGCCGGTTTCTAAAACGGTAAGTAATATATTAGGTAACTATACACCTGCCGGATGGGACGATGCTAATACATGTCCTTATTATAGGCGAACAATGCTTAGGGGCCGTTTAGTGGAGGAGAGAAAAAGAAGAAACGGACGAGGCTGAGGCAAGAGCTGCAAGTTGTGTAGGATTGGGGCGTTTTTGTCTTGCTTGTTCCCCTTATTCGTCGAGTTTCTGTAGGATAGTCGTATCATTTTCAACGTAGTCATATCATGTAACACCATAGCGAAATGCCTATGCAGCTTATGCATACAAAATTCCCGCATGACGCTCCTTTATATGGTATAATGAATCTATATCCGATCTTAGCCGCCTAATAAAAAGTATATAGTGATAATAGATGAGGCTCATTTGGTTCTTAGGCAGCAATTGTGGTGCGCAACCCCTGGGTCCAAGTACGTCTATATGCTGCAGCCATACTATCTAATGCAATGCAATGGGGAGTTGGGGAGAGTTTCACTAGGATCCTAAAATCCTTGCTTGATGATTCTATGATGTCGAGTATACCTTTTAAAGACTTGGATATCGAGCTGCAGGTGGCTGATCAAGACAACTTTGGACATGTCGAGAACCTCAGAAGACAATCGAGTATCGCTAGTTGGTCTTGGAAGATACCTACGTTCGTTTTATTTAGAAGTAAGACGACAATTAAGCATAGTTTAAATGATCAGGTAGTTACTCCTATATATATGCTTTATGGAGGCCGTGATAAAATCTATGAACTGGAGCTGTATATCGAAGCAGACCTCCTTTATTACGTTGTTAACTACATGGCTTCTTGTACAGTAGCTATTGAACGCTTCGGCCTTAAGAGCTAAAGACTTGATCATCCGAGGGACCTGATCTAAGGCCTTTAGATTCTTGGATATAAGCTGTATGAGGTATTAGTATGATCACTACAAGTAATTTTGGCATTGCATATGGAAAACTGACTTGAAGCAAACACACCAACGAACCACAGAGGTATGATATATCAATGTTTGGGACAATATTTCCTTGGAAAAACTCAACAAAAACATGCAGGTGGCCTAGGGCTGGCCGAGTCAGTGTGAGAGGCGGGGGTGCATCTCTCAAGAACCATTCCGCTACGGATTCCCATGTTTGAAAAGTCTCGATCATCTCTCTATCATCAGAATCCAGTGAAGACTTGGACCTTTTAATAGTCAAAGCCCAGTTATTGATGATGAATTGCTCCCTAACGGAAACAGTCAGTCGGAGACGAAGTTAGCTACTTGTACATGACGAGGACTTGCAGTTCTACCATATCCATTATGCTCATATAATTGATATAATCACGTTGAGAGATGCTCAGTAATGATATACCAAGATCCAAGTGTATAACATCAAGTTGATTAATGCTGAAGGCTTGGGCTATGCACAGTATACATAGAGAGATCACCTTATATAGAAACTCAACCGATTAAGTACATAATACAATGTGCTAATACAGTGTGCAGTTTTGTAATAGCGTATAAATTGGTAATTGGAATGAGGCTCTGATGAGTACCTACTCGACCTCTAAAGGACATCCAAGCAAATATTGGCGAAAAGAGGGATCGTCAGCAGTCTTAGGCAGGCTCTCGGGGAAAAAACTCAAAGCATAGGTATTGAGATGAAAAAGGACATGGTGTGAGAAATTCCTGATTCGGTCATTTCGCAGCCCCAGTCTACATTTATGCGTTTTCATGGATTTATTGATGCAACCTCTACGCTAATATATTAAACATTAAGATAAACTGACTACGGCTCTCGTCGGGATAGTAGATGAGGCTCTGCTCTCTCGGTCAGATAACCTGGTCCATATACAGCACCTAGGCTTTCATCTGTGTAGTAGGCAACATGGAAAAACAAGTAATATTGAAACTATATCACAAGCCTCATAATGTTGACATTGGATAGCTACAGAGATTATGAAGTCACACATCGGCTGGAGTTCGCGGCAAATCGTCGTGTCGAACCCAGAGCCGAAGTGGAAGTTCGTACAGCCCAACACCTTCCTGAGAGGCGACGGCACGGTCGAGCTGAGGGAATATCCGGCGAGAAACGAGGGCATCATCCAATCGTTTTTCGAGAGGGGACTTTGAAATGGAACACGGGTTACGGGATGGGGGTGGACACGGACGCGCTGGACTTTTGAATTAAGGCACGGGTAGCGAACAGGGCTCGATCCGGGGTACGTCCGGATAGAAACATTCCTTGATAAACAATATGGTATTTCCATCCGAACGTTCATTATTTATATGGTTAGATAATACATTCATTCATTCATTGCTAAACTATTCAAGGCCATTATAATTTCTTATTGGATCGGATGTTCCCCGAACTATGCCCGCTTCCTTGGAAACAAAAGCTTGGTACTCATCTGGGAATATGTAAGTGTCTTGAAATGGCGTTGTAAAAAGCGACATGTCAATTTCTACTTCAGGGCCCAAGCGCTTGGCTACCTAGACCTTTAAAGACCGTCTGCCTTATGAGTTATCAATTACATACTACGTTACTTGCCTGACCTACCTATGTATTAAAATTGTCCGAAATCGGGATACCTATACCTACTATATCTTAAGAAGGATCCTTAGCAGCTGTCATATAGGTAGTATTTCAGCTACCAATATATCATAGGTCCGAATTCGACAGTCACCTATGTGAAAATGGGCATTTACGAGAACATTTCAATGCTGATCGACCAGCCCGGTCCAAAATTCGCGATAACGTCGTATAGCTTCAAGCCACGACGGATCGCATATACGCGACTCGAGAGCTGAAGCGAATAGGTTACTGACACAAGTTACTAATACGCAGCATATAGGGATACGAGAAGAAGACGACGACGAGAGAATGAGTACAAGATGGTCATGTGATTGATATAACCCGATAACAACGCCATCAGCAACGACATGGGCCATTTACATATGTACATAAAAACAGACCCTACCTCATCGTACCGGCGGAATGGTTGTGGCTGAGTCGGTCACTTGCATTGCTTAGGTACCCGACAGCGACTCGATCCCGGTTTTCCATTGGCCGCGTAGGGGCCATGTACCACCATTCCCATCAACTATCGGCCCGTCGGACACCATGCCGCTGGCCACAGCCAGCCCGGTTGAGATCCTTTTGTTTCCCTCTGATCTGTCATCGTTGAGTAATACGACAGCGACCAGTGACAGTTTCGCCCGCACGTGGGTTTCCGAGGTTGATCTGGGGGCTGGCTTTTTGGGGAGGGGGGGGGGCTAGATTGTACAACTTCTTGTTTCTGTTTCTGTTGTTGTTGTTGTTATTATTGCTGCTGTTGCTGCCTGTGTTCGGTAAGAAGAATGTCGAGAAACGGCACGGCAAACGAGGCACCCTCGCACAGGAGATGCTACCTAAGCTTCCTCTCCGTCTCGAGCTTGAGGCTCGATCGTCTAAAGCGAAATACTCCGTATAGTTGCCTGACGAGGCAGACTTGCACAGAGAGTGTCGAGAGCGGCTCGATTGGGGTTGGGTATGGAAATGTGGTAAAGGGGGTAGCACAAGAAAGCGTCTGGCGACGCCATACCGTCATACGGCTGAGATATCGTCCGCTACATTCCGCCGCGGAGCATGCCGGTTCTAGATCCCGTATCCCTGCCGTCTCTCTTGTTTCTACGCTAGGGGTCAGGCGGGCTTCTATCATTTGATGAGGTTGCCTTACTTAGGCTACTGTTGTTGAGGCTGAGTCCCACGATGCTCGGTGTAGTTTCGAGTCAATATCTTCCAATTTTGAGGGGTGATACGCGCGTATCGTGACTCAACTTGGAATACGATGGCATCGTCGTGGTTACGATGCAGGTTTCAGCCTCGGACAGGAGAATAGGTGTGAAGAGTTTGATCACATCGTCAATTATGTAGCATGCTATTCATCGGTGACTCAGCTAGTTGACTCGATGTTTTTCCATGTCTTTTCAGAGCATAGCGGCATTGAAGTCTAGGTAGGCGTGTGTTTAAAGTTGTTCAGAACACGAAGAGCTAAGATATGAGACAACGCTAATCGGCTTAGGTTGTTTATTTATTATAAGATATGTTGAGTGAGAAGCCAATCTTGAGTAGCCTAATGTAGACAAGGTGCGGGTTGTTAGAATGATAATTCGTAACGACACAGCTTCATTTTATGACCTAGTTACTGCTTTTCATTATAATCTGAAAGCTTCACTAGTCGAGGTATAGTTGCATGTAGCACAGATTGTTAAATGTAAATCACATTAGAACTGGTAGTTCAATGGCAGGTTGTTTAGCGATGACTGGGCACCTATAGATATCTCTTTACTGCTGTCTAATCTAAGTCAACACCCCATTCTTTTACTGAAGTAATAAAGTAATCAGCTCGTTCCATGCATACAAATATAGAAATTTTGATCTCAAGATGGCACCTTGTCGGAACCCCTTTTAATTATTGGCAAATATACGCTATTGCCCATTAGCCCCTGACTCAGGGGCATTGAGCAACGATAGACTTGTAAGTTCTTCAGCCGCGCGCCCTGCTAACGTCTTGGTGTTTCTGAAACAACAAATGAGCGCACATCATTGTAGGACAATGTAATCCGCAGGCCTGAACTTGGCAGTTGGGTAGGCACTTGGGTCTATTTGGGAATACAAGATGGCTGGCGTATCGGAATTGGTCCTGATGTTGTACAGTACGACCCCATCTACTCCGCGCATCATCTGTTAGAACGCTTAGGGATGATGGGGAAATGGGATATCATGATGTGTAACAATTAATCATTCCTGCGCCCAGTGGCTTGTGTTATAGTATATCAACGACTGTTGCTTTAGCCTTGGAGGCTCATACCACTCCTATGGTATCCTGAATAGCTTGCTATTAAACTAATTTGTATCGTAGAGCGGCATCATCCTAGATAATCCTAGTTTTGGGTTGTCGAATTTGTATAATGAGGTGTAGGTAAAAAAAGATTGTCACGTACAGTTGATCTCTACGCTGAACAAGGTTGCCTCGTTCTATTTACCAACTATCAATTTATCCTTTATGATTCAACTTTGGCCGGTATTTTCTATACGTCTCTATGGCGTGCCGTTTACTCACAGCATACTCATTTAACCTCGAACTAGAATTGCCTGACCCCTATGCAGTATAGCCCCCTATATTGATAAGAAGGATTCATTAGTAGTGAATTAGTAATGAATGATTGTTAATTACTCTGTACTATTATAGAGCTCAATTGCGTTGTGCTAATTCGGGATGATATGATTTTTTAGAGTAGCGAACGCGTATACCTCGGTGCCGTTCCCCGACTATACGATGCCAGGATGCAAGGCATCCTTATAATGTAACCTAGTACAAAACATGCTGCATACATAACGTTGCATTTGAGACATGCATCGATTCTCTCTCTCTCTCTCTCTCTCTATTTTCTTGGTCATAAGGCTCGTCTTACCTGTCGGTCGCGTTCCTGCATGTACCTATATCCTACTTGCAGCAAACAGGACCTTTCATTGCCTAAATCAGACGGGCCAACTCCTTTTCTATTCCTAATATGCAATCTACGTATAACCTATAATGGTCTCATGAGTTCCGTGCAACGCCACGTGGTCTTTTAGATAGTAGGATTGCTTCCCGAAAAAACTTTTAGTTTTCGGTTCGTGCCCGCGGGTTGCGTTACCATGACACCCCCTCGGGGTGGCTTGCGGGTGTACCGCCCTGCTCGTCGTGCTCAAGGTGCGAATTCTCGGACTTCACAGTTGAAGTCTCGAGAAGAGCGTTTTCAACAAGCGAGCTGGAGTTACATGTTACATGTGGCGTCCGGGCTGTGACTGTTCTGTAGCGAATTGGAAACAGTCAGCTCTTGGAATGCGATAGCACAACGTGGAAAACCCGCGAAGATACATAATGATCTCAGTTTTACTCAGCTCTCGTGTTACGGAGGCGTAGAAAAATCGAAGTTCGGGAGACCTGAGCCGCAGTCCGAGTCCAGGCGGCCGAAACTCCATATTCGAGTTACTCCAGTAGAGTAAGTATCTTTAATGTATCTATGCCAATGATACTGAATTAGGAAAATGCGCCCCAGTTTGTTCGTTTATAGTAATTTACTCCTTTCGGGGGAGGGATTGGACCCCGGGGACTATTTGAGACACCGAATGAAAATAATATCAGGGGGTTTCCAAGTTTGCTATCCGTAGGGCTGTCTACATGGCAGAAAATGGAGACACTCTTCTAGGACCCAATTGGGGGGTCCGCCAATAGATTGTCGAGTCATTGTGGAACATGCGCATCTTTAGGTGTAGGTTGTAAGTTGTAAGTTGTAAGTTGTAGGCTGTAGGCTGTAGGCTGTAGGCTCTTGGCTGTTGAAGATTTAATATGTTAAAATTCCTACGTTTATGTAGTGACACCCGAGACCTCGTGGGGGAGGATGACATGAATCTACGGTTGCCTGATATCTCGAACAATAAGTCCTAGCTTAACCCAAGAACCAGAAATTCGTCAATTATGGTGCTACGGCGTGGTAAGGCGGATGCAGAGATTGAAATTTCTATTGCTGTTGGCAAATATTCGAAGACAATTTCCGAGACTCAGACGATAGAATAGCGGGTTCCCCACTAAATTCCCTAATAGTCCTATATTAAACCGTATATGTGGTGATATAAGTGGTGATGTAAGTGGTGATGAGGTCCAACTGCGATTGAGCTGGCCTTACGAAAGAAACGTCAAGCCTTGCGGCGACATGTGGCAACGACATGAAACAGCCACAAACCTACATAGACATACCGAGGTTTGATACCCGTGGGGGCGGTAACCATAATAGAATAATGAGTACGGAATAGACATGATCACTGATGAGATTAGAAGCTCTTAATTGGATATCAAGACACAAGTAGGCACTGCCTACAATTTTGGCGGATAGTCCGGGCCTTGACTCACTTGCCAATCTAAAATTACTATTACTAGAATTGAGTCATGATGGGTCGCAATGATTTGCAATGTTATGTCTGTTGTGTTGTTTACCTATCCGAGTGAACACCTAGAACGCCGATGACCCCCGGAGTATAGAGGGGAAATTGAGGAAATTGAAGCATCGAAGCAATGTAACAACGGTGGCTCCGAACTGGCGGAAGCTGTAATGATCGGAGCAATGCCCCTCCTGCCGTCAGGCTTGCAGAATCATACTTAAGGCTATGCTGGAGAAGAATCTACCCGTCGGGGATGGTGACGAAATAATGCTTATCGAAAAATAATGCTTATCGAAATATCCTATAAAAATATCCTACAACAGGTAGTATACGGTGCCAAAAGGCGTCGAAAAGTGAGAAGTGGGGGATGTGGTGAGGCGAGTGAGAAATAGTGGAAATCGATATGTTTTGTTAAATGTACCTAACCTAGGTAGTTAACACATTATAAACGATGCAGTCAGGTACCTAACCTAGCTAAGATAGGTAGGTAAGCAAGGTAAATATTGGAAGTGAATAGGTAGACGTCAAAGTAGTGGAAGAAAATCTCCGTGAGGTGAGGTTTAAAATTCAGGTGGCAGTGCGTGCGATTATCAAGAGCTGGTATTATGAGCTTCTTAATTATGGGCTCTGATTCTATATCTAGTGCATCTCTTTTACTGCTTCATACTGCTTAGGTAGGTACGGAATAGATGATGAGGGTAGGTATGTTAAGAATTATAAGAATTCGTCTATAAATAGGAGGTACCTAACTACCTAAGGTAAGCCTAAGATTTCATCCCACCTTTAGTATAAGCACTAGTTTAGTGCGTTTAGTGCGTTTAGTGCCCCACCATTCTTAACTCTTAACAGTGTGTGTGGTTTGTGTAGTTTTTGCAGCGGTTTCGAACTGGCGCCTCGTGGCAGATCCCTGTCCCCTCCCTGTCCCCTGTGCGACTTAGAGCATGTAAATAGCAGATGAAGAGATAAGATTGGTTCTTACAGCAATTTGCTGTGTGCTGTGCTTTTCAGCTGTACCATAATAAACCGTTGGGTTGCCTTCGGATCTAAAGTTCGCGTGCGTTCTGTTGCTGCGAAACCAGATCGTATCTCATTTCGCTAATTGATACGGCATCGATGCAAAAGCCCCGAGCTCTGATATTCCATTAATCACCCATGTATATGGATGTACCTGCATCTACCTATGTATCTATCCTATACTATACGTGCCTAGGTATCTAAGGTATCAGGGTATCTGCAACCTTGTACCTGGTCTGGTGCGGATAGGCGGGTAGGTTAGGTATTTCGATTGCTGATGAAGGCACAGCTGCACTGTGCTTCTGCTTCTCTGTAATCTGTTCTGCCGGAGACGGGACTAACCTCCGCGGGAAGCCTATTCTTACCTATAGCAGGCTGTACATATATGTCTGGCTTGATAGGTAGGGATTGGTTCGGATCCGTCCTGTTGTCTGGGATATCGGGATGGGCTGAGTCACCGGGCAATGACAAATCTCGATTAGGTAAGAGTATAGGTAGGATATAGGAAATAAGAAACAGGATAGTTATAGATATAATCCGTACTTACCATAGATAACTAGTACAAATATTCATCTTGAAACAAGTGGAGAATGAAGAGCATGCGAGCACTATGATACTATGATTACATTGTACATTGTACGAATTCTTTTTAAGACGGGTCGGGAGAGGCCGAATGATAATGATGACTCGAGATTACTATCGTTTCCTAACCGAGTATGGTGAACCATGTTTTGCAGATGCCACAAGTCTCGAAAAAGAAAGTCCCCTGTTACCCAAACTGAGAAGGGCCGTTGTGGACTAGGTATGTACTAAATCTGGGTACCTTACATACATAGTACATACATGAACGGACGCACTTACAAGGTATGAAGCGTGCGGATGGTGTAATGTATAATGACATATGTAATACCACGCGGAGTAATTTTCGATGATGGGATCACAAGTTTAGGGTATGTAGGTATTAGGGGACCTCGCGTGATAGCAGGCCCAGTACTGGGCCTTACCATAGATGATTACCGCTTGATTGGCTAAGATGCATGGAGAACCGAATAGCAAAAAAGTAAGCCCCTTGTGGTGTCCCTCAGATACGGGTAACGAGATATGGGCTTGTTGGCCTTATTGGTCGAATTAGAAGAAAGTCCAAAGAACAAGGGTTTTTTTTAAAGAAAAAAATCCATAAACAAAAATACAAGGTACAACCACACCCTCAGCCCTATCGCTGACTTCAGATCCCCAAAACGGATTAGGGCGTGCCCCGCTGGCCCCCAAAATAGAAGACCGTATGGCTTCCATGCATTTTTGTAAAGATTCTTTGCGCCTTCTCTGCAGGACCCGATACCAACAGCTTGGTGTTGTGTTGTAACCTAATGCAGTGCGCGACCAAAATGACATTGCGACCCTGAGACCCTGCAAACCTTGCAACCTTTTGAACTTTTACCCTCCATTTCAGCACCACATGCACGCGCATCTATGTACACCAAGCGTCATGTCGCCAAATCTAGAAATGGGACCCTTGTTTCATGAAACAAAAAAAGATGGCTTAAAGTGGTTCTTCCAAGCATGTCATACATACATGTATGATGTAGGTAGTATACCTACATTTATGTACCGTGTACCCCCGTTGGCTTACGCTACGAGCTTTTCTGACTGGGCTCCAGGGCTCCATCTTTGTCTCGTACCTTTTCCTTCCCACACCCCCAAAATTCCACCACCGCACGCCTTAGGATTCGCTGGGTCTGAACGGGATCCTCCTATGACTATTATATCGAGGCTCAAGCATACCTAGGTAGGCAGTAGATATTTCCGCCGCAGCACATCGGCAGTCTGGGTCTCTCAGCCCGGGGGCCCCCTGCTCTTACCAACATGGTCCGGTCAGCTAGGAAACGTGCACCAGTTACTCTGATAATGACGGGCTGTGTTTCGTATACTTCAGATATATAAGATGTTAAACTCCCTGGTTTTGAGGCATCTTTATTTCTCATCACAACAGCAAGAACTACAAGAACAAGAACAAGAACAAGAGCAAGAATAATATAAATCCTCATCCCTTAACAGATATATCATAAAACAACACTAGCTCTTGCTTCACATACAAATACCACAGCTTTTCTTAATTGTCGTTTTCATTACTGTACTCGTCCATATTTCATCTATATATACCAAACCTTACACAATAGCAATGGCTGCCTTCACTTTCACCACTGTCTCTGGTACTGCCAACTTCGGCCGAAGCGGCTACAACAAGGACGGTGACTCTGAGGACGACAAGCGAAACTTCGGACGCAGTGGCTACAACAAAGACGGCGACGACGACGACAAGAAGAACTTCGGACGAAGTGGCTACAACAAGGATGGTGACGAGGAAGACAGCCGGCTCAGCAACTTCGGCCGGAGCGGCTACAACTAAAGAGTCTAAACACCATGAACACTCACTTCTCTTCCATTCCATCCCGGCCACCCGTCGACTTTAATATCTCCCTTTCTCGCCACGGCCGGTCCAGCCCAGCAGCGCTCGACTGGGCCGGCCTTGTATTACCACTCGATTCTCATTGTTTCTGTACCAACCACAGCATTTAGAGAGCATTATTCGGCATTTGATATCATTATACTATTGGGACTGGACGATACCACGAAAAAAGATTCATACCATAGAAACATAGACGCGCAAGCAACACCTGTACTACTATTATAGCATGAGATAGGATTCGGGATAGACATCGGACGATTTAGGAAAACGCATTGTATGAGGATTAGGGCATGGAACGGCGCAAATAGGGCATTACTCTTCATCTGTATATTGGTTATTTTGAGAATTCAATCACTTTCCTACACAGAACCTGTCTCAAATATCAGTTGGATCCTCCAGCGTAGTAATGTGCCGGTACTTACTTTTCGAAGATTACGCCTAGGATTTCCTCCACATCGCCTACATCTCCGCGGCCCGTGATCCGTCCTAGGTAATTTGCGGCGTAACGAAGATGTTCAGCTGCTATGGTAATATCAGCGTCTTCGCCTCTATCGAGCTCGTCGTGGGGGCCCCTTTCACCCGCCAAGTCGGTATATCCCACGACTTCAAGGTAATTCTCTAGATGCCGTCTACATTTCACAAGAAGCTGTCGCTGACGTTCGGTAACGCCATGGAGGTCTTGCAAAGTTGCAGGAAGCGATGTCATTGTAGTAAACGATGTAACCAACGCATCTACGACCCCCCGGAGCCCCCCCGGGTCGATCTGGTCAGAACCTAGATCTTGCGCCTCCTTGCAAGAAATGGGTATCGGCCGAATTCCCCCAAGCCCATTGACCTTGCCAAGCACATCCTTGGCGAACCGCTGAAGAAGGACACGTAATCCATCGTTAGAAACGGCATCTCGCTTGTTAACAATTACTAACCGTTCCTTACTGTCTGCCGCGAGTTTTAGAGTCTCCATATCGAAGCGAATCTGGGGTTTTCCAAGCGTATCCGTTTCGATCGAGGTTAATACGATGATGACATCAGATTGCGTGGCTTTGACCCTTGCCCTGCGGATTCCCTCTTCTTCAACTGCCCCTATAATATCTACAGAATCACGTGCAGAATCACGAGCACCCGTTGGATCTAGTGGAGTCGAGCTTCTGAATCCTGCGGTATCTGCAAATGTACACAAATACCCACGAATATCGATATTAGCTTCGATGATGTCCCGAGTAGTGCCAGACTCGCTTGATACGATAGACGCCTCCCTACCCACGACCTGATTCATAAACGAGCTTTTACCGGCATTCGGCGGACCCACAAGCGCGATTTTGATCCCGTTCCGAAGAAGTTCGCTTCGCTCACTCGCTCCTTCATGGACGTGTATACTCTGAAGGATTTGCCTAACCTGTTTCGTCACATTGACGACTAGGGAAGCGGGCGACTCGTCGAAATGCTGATCTTCGGAGAAGTCGATAAGAGCCTCCATCTCGGCCCGAGCATGTAAAAGATTCTGACGCCAGTCTTCGTATGTTCGACCCAACGAGCCACTGCTGCCGCGAACCGCCGCGCGTCGCTGCTGTTCCGTTTCAGCGGCGAGAGTCTCGCTTAGAGCCTCGACCTGGGCTAAATCAAGCCGGTCATTGAGAAAAGCTCGCTTAGTGAATTCACCGGGCTCGGCGTAACGGATTGGGCCTTCTGCGGCACATTTAGGAATCGCCGCGAGAACAGCTTTCACAGTTGCACTACCTCCATGCACATGCAGTTCTAGGACATCATCGCCAGTGACTGTTTTGGGATTTGGGAAAAAAAGCACTAATGCTTCCGAATCGAGAATTTCCGATTCGCTCGAATCCGGATGATACAGTGACCTAATGGTGGCATGGCGAGGTTTTAAGAAGGGTTTGCTTGGGCAGAGTCCGTGGTAAATCTTATAATCCATCAGCCATGGTCGTTGGTTGGAAGCGAATAAACCCTACAGATCTGCAGGCGGGGCCCGATATCCGGATCACCGCGATCCCAGCCTTGCCCTCGGCTGTTGATAATGCGTATATTGTATCATCGCGCAGCTGAAAAGAAGAGTAACGCTGAACGAACTGACCATTGCCAATCAAATTGCCATGGTTAAAACTTAAACGGGTCCCCGAAGATGCGAGAGACTGTCGAGTCAGATGAAGGGAGCTGAGCTCTATAGTATTTCGAGGCCACCTCAAACAGGTGAACACGCACCTCCTAGCAGCGCGATACATGAGCTATACTCCGCCTAAACCCCCAATAAGGAGCTTCAATTATATGGTTAAACCCATATGAGAGTGATTGATGTATCGGAAGGCTGTATTATATAATCGGAAACATTGACCATTCAAGAATGTGTGTTTCAAGAATGATTTACAAATATTCGAGTATTCAGATGCGTAGCACTGAGGTTAAAGACTGGACTAACCTAAAGGCTACCTAGGTAGGTAGTGAAGGTACACAGGTACATAGTACGTCAAAAGGGCCAGTGTGGGAGTAGACTACATATCCATTATGCGCCTTATGATTGGTTGAAGATACTAGTGATTAGCTTAGCTAGTCTTGTTAGTTACCGCCTTTCTTAGCTCAAGTCCAAGACCCGCACCCGCAACGGCAGAATTTTTTTTTCCTTTTCGGAAATTCTCAAGCGCAAGAGTTTAGCTGAAGCTGTTTGCCGCTTTACTAGAACACCACTTCTCACCCTCCACTTGTCCGATTGCCTTGATTATATTTAATAATTAGACGCAATGTCGGACGAAATTATTTGGCAGGTCATCGACAAGCAGTTTTGTAGCTTCAAACTAAAGTGAGACTCGTATTTTCGATCGTCGACCACAAGTGCTAACATATTACTAGAACTACAAAAGAGAAGACTTTCTGCCGAAACGAGTAAGAAGGGCCCCGGTTGTCTGGTATTTCGGTTTTAACACAAGCATAGGTATAATGTGACAGGTCTTTGCAATAGACAGTCATGTCCTCTCGCTAATTCTCGTTATGCCACTGTGCGGGCGCACCCAACTAAGGGCACCTTGTACCTATATATGAAGACTATTGTTGGTGCCTCTATGCATTTTATCGCTGCCTACTTGTTGACCAGATATAGGAGCGAGCCCACATGCCATCAAAGCTATGGCAGAGGATCAAGTTGTCACAGAATTATGCCACCGCCCTGAAACAGATTGATGAACAACTCATCTACTGGCCCAAGTTCCTGGTACACAAAGCGAAACAGCGAATCACTAGGCTTACGCAAGTGGCGATACGGATGAGAAGGCTAGCTAAGGAAGAGGCACGATTGGGCGAGAAAGTTGTACCCAAGATGGCACCTAAGATTAGGCGCCGGGAAGAGACAAGAGAACGCAAGGCAGAGGCAGCCGCTAAGTTAGAACGAACAATCGAGCGGGAGCTTATGCAGAGGCTGCGCACGGGTGCATACGGCGATCAGCCACTCAACGTCAGCGAGACGATCTGGAAGAAGGTCCTTAATGCTATGGAGCGCGAGGGCGAAGCAAAGAGGGACAAAGATCTCGATAAGGGTATCGAAGATGAGGAAGAGGAAGAGGAAGAGGAAGAGGAAGAGGAAGAGGAAGAGGAAGAGGAAGAGGAAGAGGAAGAGGAAGAGGAAGAGGAAGAGGAAGAGGAAGAAAACGAAGTTGAATATGAGGAAGAAGACGACGAGCCCGACGGAGCAGTCGAATATGTCAGTGACTTCGAAGAGAGCGATGACGACCTTGAAGATATCGAGGATTGGCTAGGAAGCGACGACTCCGACAAGGAAGAGGAGTCACAGAGCGAAGACAGCGAGGAGGAATCAACTAAGAAGGCTATAGGTGACAAGAGGAAGAGAGCACGTGTTATCAGCGCGAAGCCGAAGAAGGCGGCTCGACGTGGAAAGGAGATTGAGCACGAGCATGAATTTGAGCGGCATAGGGAGGAACTTGCTTTTTAGAAGACACTACTATGACCGGAACTCAAGCTCTAGCATCTCATATTACGATATATGTCTTGATACCCTTTTTGATACCTGTAGGTATCTTTATAAATAGAAAGGCGCAATTGTCTCTTTCTCGCGCACGGTATTGGCTCAAATTAGGGATGCTTAAAAATATAGGCGGCTAACTAATGATGTAACTATTATTACCTTAGATACCTACATAGGTACCTAGGTAGTTATGCGCAAGACATCCTATTTGTCAATTGATATGATATTCCGAGGCCTGGTGAACAAATCATCATTGCACTTAAGCGTACATGTATTTACTATGTAAGGCTGTGGTTCAGGGGCAGACCTGTTAGCTTGGCGGGGTATTTATCGTATTTGTCCACTCCGTTTTCTTGTTACATAGCGCTATCCACCAGTCTGGCAGTTGTCTGGCTGTCTGGTCGGCATTGACATTAATCATTCATTCTCACCGATCCAATTCTTTTTGAAACGGATTCCTGAACACCCTTTTTTTTTTCCTTTCTCCATAACGACCACGAAGTCATATTTAAGCTTTGCTCGCCCTGTATTTAAAATCAACTCTACAACAATTCCAACAATTCCAACACGTGTTTATACAATTCTATACAATTTGTAATTTAGTCCAACTCTCCACAAGAATCAGACGAACATACATACCCGCTTAGACGCATTTATCTAAGAACTAAATCCCCTTAGCTCATCCAGGGTCATAAGACAAGATGTCGGCCTGGTATAGCAATCTTGTCGGTGCGACAACTTCGAAAATTTCCAATCTCCAACGAACATTCCTTAGTAGCGAAGCCGATGGCGATACCGAGGACGACACACACGTGTGCAGAGTCCTCCGATCTTACTACACCGAGAAAGGCAAGCCGTTTCCTTCATGGCTACCACCCGACCCTAAAGCGCCTCCTCCAGTTGCTGCAGTATACGCGCAGCCGTCGCAAGTCGGCTCGAGATACGGTGGTCTTACTCAGCAACCCCAAGGTGGCTTAAGTTCGCTTTGGGACAACAATCCAGTGTCACAACCGCAAGATGCACAAAGTCTAAGGAGAGGCAGAGGTGCGCCGCCTGGTATACGAAATAATGACCCTAGGAACAGCCCGTTCCGTAATTCGGACCCTATGGCCGGACGGGAAGAGGTATCTGCAAGACCGCTGCCTAGCCAAAGAGCCGGAAGCTACCAGAATGCCGGGACAGCACCGCCCACCACTTCGTCTGGAGGCTCGGCACAGGATAGGCTGAAACAACGACTGTTCGGTGGCTCGAGGACAACAAGTCCTGCAGCAACTGGACCCTTTCAGCCACCACCGCAGAGCAGCTCTAGAGGCAACAACAATTCAGGAAGTGGAGATTACGAAGATAGGTTTGCACCTGGGGGTATGTATGATGGAGGTTCTAAGGCAGGTGGTCCTCCATATGACTCGGGATCGGGAAGTGGAGGCAGACCCGGGGGCAGGCGGCCAGGCGGCCTACCGAGCGGGCCTAAGATGAGATGAGGCTGTCGACAGATCGACGGAACTGTAAGACGCTTCCGTTTGGTTGCGCTGTCCTGGGATCTTGAAATTTGGAATTAGGAATCGAGACAGGGGATGGGGACGAGGCTATATCGGACGCCAAGTTACGGAAGGCAGGGCGCGGATCCTGATGTGATCACGGCGCTCTGTGACTGCTTATAACTGCGCCTCAGTCTCCTCGGACTATGTCCACCTTACTTACCTATTTAATTTATGGCGAGCTAGTAAATACCCACGAAGTTGAAATTGTTATAGAAATGGATACATACATAGAAGAGATCCTAGATCGCATCGGCTTTTAGTTACTACATCAAGCTTAACCCTGCGAGGAAGGATGAGAGCGGCACAGAAACATCTAGATCATACATAGAAGTGTTACGATTTGCCTCGTAGTCTAGGTAGCAAGGAAATAATGATGTTGTTGCCTGCTCGGATACATATCCACCTTTCTTCGTATTGCGTGTTCGATACGTAGGCCTGCCCTATGTACATTAGGTAGGTTAGTTGATTTGGTTCGTGCTTGTCCCCCCACGCCTTATTCATATCATGTTTATTTTCGTCATATTATACATACAGCGTGCATCCAATATTAGGAATTTGTTGACATAGCTATTTTTGTTGCGAATGTGAAGTGCGTAATAACTGTAGGTAGGTGGTTCAGTTACAAGGATATGTATAGGTAGGTATGTATACGTAGTAGTGATAACGAATATTACGACCTAGTGTGATTCGTCACGCAGACTTTCGTGGCCTGCTACCTGCATACATGTACATAGGTACATGTAGGCATGGAATTAAATGCAGATGACTGGACAATTATACGCTAATGCGGCAGGTTCTTAGTACTAAGTCTTAGCCTTTTTTTAGTGGTGATTTGACGTATCGATACCAGCAAATAGCGTTTGGGGGCGCAATGGAGGCCCCCTCTATGATCAACTGTCGATTGGCGCGTGGCGGGGCACAACGACGCACCTGCTTGTCTTATTCAACAACTTCCCCCAAGCTCAAATCACTTTTTGCTCACATGTTCCATCACAAAATTAGCCCTACAGGATTACAGAAGAAGATATCTCAACTGCCAGGGATCTGGATCCAGATATCCTTACGAACTTGAGATACATCTTCTTGTCAATCTACAACATCCAGCTTATCCGAGCTGGATAGGACTACACCCCGCCATGACATCAGCTCCCCTGCCGGGTAGAGCCAGCTCGCCTACAGGCAGCTTTTACGCCATGAGCGACGACGAAGAGGGCGAGTATGATACCATCACCCACACCGAGACCGGAAAGGGCGTCAAACTCCTATTTTCTAAGAGCAAAGTTTATGTTCACCCTACTCCATCATCAAAGGATAATATCCCCGGCTACATAGCACTGTTACAGCAAAAGGGACCCCATGGTGAACGACCAACGTCTTCCTCCTCCTCCGCTTCTAATTCCCTGGCATCGGCAGACCTTTTACTTGCTTGGTTACCGGAGTCGTCTCTTGGCGATGCCGCCAGCATATACGTAAAAGTAGATCTGACTGATGCCGAATCCCCGCCGAGGCAAAGCTATCTCGTACCACCACCCCCCACCGTAACCACCCACAAAGGATCGATCGGTCATTACGCTTTCGCTATTCCTGTTAGTGTGATATACTCTTTACTGGTGAGGCCACCTAGCTTAGGGTGGTGGTTCGGGTCTTTGGTGATCAACACCAGGGCTGGGGATAGCTTCCCGGCACTGTTCTTTCACGACAGCGAATGCCAGTCAACTATACTCCAGAAGAAGAAGCGCGCTAGGGAGAGCTTTGATCCATTTGGTGAAAATGGCCAGATGTTTTGGGGAGGCGATGAGGTCCTCCGTTGGTTAAAACGCTACGTCCGGATAGAAAGGAGTGGGGCTGAGCCGAACATCTACTTGGTAGAGCCTACGAAAGAAGATAGCGAGGCTTTCGGCGGAAAGTTAACGTCTAGTACGCCTTCGCAGATTGGCAGGCATGACAGTTCTCAAGGCATATCGTCGCGCAGTCGTGCCGGGCCTTCACGAGCGGGCGCTATTGACCAGAACGACGCGGGAATGGACCCTGTCATGAAATTTGTGAAGGAGACTGGATGGAATCTCCTAGAAAAATTCAGCAAAGTCACAACGTTCACACGAAGAACCGCCCAGGATATAATTGACAATCCAAAAATGCCACCTCAGGTGCGGAGATTAATGAGAAACCCCGAAGTTCAGACGTTACAGGACGAATTTGATAGCGCAAGGATATACTTGGCCCGGTGGGCGATGGGAATAGCTGAGCAGAGTGAAAGGGATCGAAGCCAGAGGATATGGACTGCTCGCGACGTCTTGGAATTAGAAGATACCGACGTCGGGGAGTTCGAGTTGCTTGAAACGAGTACCTTATCCCTGGAGGAGCGAAGGAGGCCGGTGACTATTAAGGAGTGGAACAGTTTCTTTGATCCTCGGACCGGACGTCTTGCAGTCACTATTGATGAGGTTAAGGAGCGAATCTTCCACGGTGGTCTCGATCCGGAGGATGGAGTTCGCAAGGAAGCCTGGCTATTTCTGCTTGGTGTGTATGATTGGTACAGCACAAGCGAGGAACGGAAAGCGGCAATCGCATCTTTGAGGGACGAATATGTAAAACTAAAAGCTGCCTGGTGGGAAAGGCTGGTAGACCTTGGCGGCGAAGGAGATGACGGTGAATGGTGGCGAGAGCAGAGGGGCAGAATCGGTAAGTCTTACTACTTGTATGGGCAATATATTTATACTAACTATTTGATACAGAAAAAGACGTACATCGGACTGACCGCACAGTCCCAATCTTCGCAGGAGAAGATCTTCCTCATCCTGATCCCGACTCCCCATTTGCTGAGGCTGGCACCAATGTCCATATGGAGCAGATGAAGGATATGCTACTCACCTATAACGAGTATAATAGGGATCTTGGCTACGTCCAGGGAATGTCTGACCTACTTGCTCCGATATATGCCGTTATGCAGGACGATGCCATTGCCTTCTGGGGGTTCCAGCGTTTCATGGAGCGAATGGAACGGAATTTCCTACGAGACCAGTCCGGCATGAGAAACCAGCTTCTCACGCTCGACCATCTAGTACAGTTCATGGATCCAAAGCTGTATGCTCATCTTGAGTTGGCCGACAGCACCAACTTTTTCTTCTTCTTCCGCATGCTATTAGTCTGGTATAAACGCGAGTTCAAGTGGATGGACGTCTTGCACCTATGGGAAGTGCTCTGGACAGACTACTTGAGCAGTAGCTTCCACCTATTCGTGGCTCTTGCTATTCTAGAGAAGCACCGAGATGTGATAATGATTCACCTTAAGCATTTTGACGAGGTGCTTAAATATGGTAATCTCCGCAACACCCTTTTTAACACAAATCATTGCTAACGCTTTCAAATTAGTCAACGAATTATCGAATACGATAGACCTCGAGTCTACGTTGATCCGAGCAGAGGCTTTGTTCCGCCGCTTCCAGAGGTTGATTGAAGCCATAGATAAGAAGCAAAACTTTCCAACACCAAGAGTACTGCAAGATTCGTCGTCAAATTCTGCACCCACTTCGTCCAAACAGCCAAGTAACAAGAATGGAAAGGCTACAGAAGAGCAGCCGAAAAAGACAATTACCCCTGAGCTGCGGAAGCTGCTGAGTAAAAATATAGAAGTGCTTCCACGAAAGGTCGTGCAAAAGAAAGCCGACAGCATTACTACCGATGGTGCCTAGGAGGTAGTCTATTAGGTGGCTGCTTCAACTTCGCTTTGGATCTGAGCTTCATATGCTTGGTGTATTTGTATGTTAGGGGATATGGAATATGGAACGGAAGGCATAATGAGGCGGATTGTACCGAATTTTAAGGGGTTGGTGTTGAGGTTTATGGCTTATATAGTATTGGAAGGAAGGGACACAATACTACCCGAAGCAGCGCTTTCGACATCCTTCACTCCAGCGCTAACGAGGGAAATCTAGTAATTGAGGTTGAAAAGTTAGGAAATAATTCAAATTCACACACGACATTGCCTGGAAATGCCGGCAAAATAGAGCTAATGATATACTTGAAATATCTTGATAATGATGCCCTGAAAGATGACAACCTATGCAAACCTAGTAGTCCTTCCCTCCACTCCGTTGAATTCGCATGATACGCCTATAATTACAACAATGCAAACTGCCCCTTTGCTCTCTCTCTTTCTCTCTTCCTTCTCTCGCATGTCGTCTTGCGTCATGCTTAGCCTCCTCATTAATACTACTTCAGCATATTAAAACTCCTGCTCCTCTTGGAAGAACATGCCGAATGAGATAATAGTCCCATAGATCAATAGTCCACCGATAACAGACATTACCATCGCCGGGATACCGATTAGAGCGGAGTGCGCGAGGACGGCGGGGAGAGCTGCGAGGTTGAGGGTATGTTAGTTATGACCCTTTTATTCTTATTGTGTATATACGAGCAAGGATATGATGGCGAATTAAGTCGGGCTTCGCGCACGTACGTGCGTAATCCGCGCAACCACATCATAAGCACGGAAGAGAACAAGAGGGTAGGTAGGTAGGTAGAATTATAGAAAGCGTCGAGGTCTTACCTATGCCCATAACAACCAAGAAGCCAGTGAAGAAGCGGCCGAGGTCCAAGACGCCATTTCCGGTGCTCTCGACGAAGTCTTCGGGATTGGCGCAGCGCGTAGCAATCCAGTTGGGTATGGGAGCCAGCACGTAGGTGGCAACGACCAGCAGCGGATAGTAGACCTTGTATAGCGCGCAGGACAGGATGACTAGCAGGAAGCCGATGGCGAGCACGAAGGACAGCGCGATGATGGTCTTGAGCCCCGCGGTCGGCATCGTGGGCGGATGGGAGCGCGGATAGTTTGACGACTGACTTACGGCTACGGCTACGGTTACGGCTACGGCTATGGCGGGAGGAAAAGGAGGGAGGGCGTACTCCTAGAGCGGTAGATGGTGGTTCTATCGAGTTTCGAGCTTCGGTGGTGATTCGTACGAATTGCTGTGTGGAAGAAAGGGAAGACGCGCCGTGTCGGTAAGTTAGTTGTAATGGTTGGGACCTGCGATGGTGTTACAGGATGTTGTCGTCAGACTCAGCCTTGGCTTGGCTTGCCTAGGTTAGGTACCTAGGTAGCGCTAAGTTTCCCGGGGTTTGGGGGCCGGGGAGCTTAAGCCACTTTTTGGAGTCTCCCGTATGGATGGAAATCAATTACGTGTGGCTGGAATACGCTGCGTTTCGTGTACTCAAGTACAATATGTATCTTAGGTACCTCCTAAAGTACTATGTACACATTCATGTGCGGGTAGTGCCCTTACCTAAGCCTCTGGAGCTAGGGCATCAGTGCTAGACCCAAAAGAGACGAACGACGAAGCTCTTGAGCTGCCTTGCGATTGCTGAAAACGTTCAAGTCTGCGAGTCTGTAATTCGGGTAGCTCCAGCCTTGCATTTCCGACTCGAATATCCAACCTGCGAATACCTTCCCAACGCATATACACCACTATTTTTACCTCCGCACGCCCAATAATAATTCCTACTTGAACTACGACATTATCGACACATCGACATAATGTTCAGAAACAACTACGATAACGATTCCGTCACATTGTAAGCTCCTAATTACGCTGCAAACAACCCTTGTCAATCCACACTTCACTAACAACTACGTTCAGCTCCCCGCAAGGGAGAATATTCCAGGTTGAATATGCCGCCGAGGCCGTCAAGCAAGGTTCGGTAGTGGTGGGTTTAGTTAGCAAGACACATGCAGTTCTAGTTGCTATCAAGGTACGAGCATCACAAGAAAAGCCTACCCAGATCCAATCCAAAGCTTCAAGAGCTAACAACTCCACCCACAGCGAAATGCAGAGGAACTCTCGTCGTACCAAAAGAAGCTGTTCGCCGTAGACGAGCATGTCGGCCTAGCCATTGCCGGCCTGACCTCAGACGCCCGTGTCCTGTCCAACTTCATGAAGCAGCAGTGCCTGTCGCAGCGGTTAACCTACGACCGCGCGATGCCCCTCGAGACCCTCGTCTCGCTCATCGGCGACAAGGCACAGCTCAACACCCAGCACTACGGAAAGCGGCCATACGGTGTCGGCCTGCTGGTGGCGGGCGTGGACGAGGCCGGACCCCACCTATTTGAGTTCCAGCCCAGCGGTATGACCCAAGAGATGCTGGCGTGCGCTATCGGAGCCCGCTCCCAGATGGCACGTACCTACCTCGAGAAGAACCTGGATAGTTTCGCGGCGTGCGGCCGGGAGGAGCTTATCCTCCACGGGCTGCGCGCTCTAAAGGAGACGCTAGTCCAGGACCGCGCGCTGACCGTCGAGAACACGAGCGTGGGCGTTGTAGGATTCAAGGAGCCCGGCAAGAAAGGCCTCGAGTTCTTCAAGGTGCACGACGGTGCGGAGGTCAAGGACTGGATCAACAGCGTGGCAAACGACAATGATGCGAGCGAGGAGGCGGCAGAGGGAGGAGACGGCATGCAGGTGGATGAGTAGACGACGCGGAGGAAAGGGAACAAATCATGCTGCGGTAAAAGAAAGGCACAAATAATTGCATTTCGCTCGGGCGTATGGGCTCGGGAGGTGCTATGTCGCGGCACCATCTAGATGTATCAATAGACGACAACAAATCACGAAGCAAGCCAGGAAAAAGCCGTGGCATCTTAAGAATTAAATGCACAAAAGTGATGTCATATTTCATCTTCCTCGTCGTCAAAGTCATCTTCCCGCCCCATCTCGTATAGAATCCTACCACCTTCGCCCGCCCCGATGTCCGTCTGGGCGTCGAGGTACGGTAGGACTATGCCCTCTCTGTCTCTACGCTGTTTCTCCGTCAACCCTAGGTTAAACGTAGTCTCCATGTCCCCGTCTCCTTCGTCCGCCGCACCCCCCTGATCAATATCGCTTGGATCCCGAAATGCGGGGTGGTCGGAGAGAAGATACAGTCTTGAAGTCTGGACCTTGCTATCCTGCGCTGCCGCCGACTGCGGCACCAAGACAAACTTCTCAGCAACGGCGCGGCCGCTGCGCCGCCTCAGCTCCATCTCGAGCACAAGGCCCTCGCCAGCCGCCGACCTCTTCTCGGCACTACCCAGGCCGATCAGCACGCCCTCCCGGCCCTCGGCAAGCCCCCACTCGGGCTCCTGCAAGCTGCGGTTCCGCGCGCGGCGGCGCTCGACGGCCTGGTACAGGCTCGCGACGCGGAGCACGGCGGTGGCGAGATGGCACAGGGTGGTGAAGGGATGGGGCTCGTACTCGCCGAAGGACGGGGGCAGGACCAGGGGCAGGTCGGTGTGGTAGACGGCGACGAGGGAGACGGCGGGGGTGACCAGGCCGGAGAGGAAGACGGCCAGGTTGGAGCCGGCGGCGCAGGCGATGCCGTTCACGCCGTCCATGACGACGAGCACCTTGTGCGCGTGGCCGGCGCTGCCGGACGAGTAGTGCGAGGTTATCTCGGCGCGCAGGGCTTCGGGGGTCTTGCCCCAGGCCTTGACGAAGACGTCGGCGGCGGGGGGCTTCCGCAGCAGCGAGGAGGATAGGAAGATTGTTTTGCTTTTGGAGATCTGGGAGGGGGTTAAAATGGTGGTGTATATAATCTTTTGTAATCTTTTGGGGGAGAAAAGGGGTAAAGGGGGGGTTAAGGAAAAAGAAAAAGGGGGGGGAGATAGCGCAATGGCTAGGTAGGTAGGTACGGACTAACCTTGGCTCTGCTGAGGAACTCGTGAACTACAGGCGTTGCGCTCTGCTCCAGCGTGTCGAGGATTAGTGTTAGAGGGCTGGCGCTGTCTCGCAGGTTAAGGAGTTTCTGCAGGAGAAGCAGCGAGTGCGAACGCGCGTGCGATTGCGTAGATGATGGCATAGCTGCGTTGTTGTTTGATGCAAGTAAGTGCCTGGGCGTTGAATACTTTTTGCGATGGTGTCTTGCCAGGGCGGCCAAGGGTGGGTGGATAGTTCCGAGGCTGGAGTTGGAGTGATCTTCCGAATACTTGAAAGACTTGTATTTGTATTCGGGTCAGTTCAATAGTTACATGTAACTACCTGTTTTAACTGAACTTAAATTAATACTAGGTAGGTAGTTATGTAAGTGATATGTACCTATGGATGAAGTTACGAAACCTCAACTAGTAAAATCTACCTACCTTATTACATAACGTTGGGTACCTAGACAAGCGAAGCAAGCACATGTGCTAGAGGCTAGAGCTAGCTTCTCCCCGCAGCCCTAGTTGAGGAGGAGTTTAAGCGGCGACTTATAGCGTGCTCCACTAATTCGCATGTAAGGCGAGATCGACCCAGCCGGGGCAGATCTACCGCTGCAATTGCAGGGGCTAATCCTCGCCATCCTTTGTTATTTTATTTCTAATTCAACCTCTTTCCGTCTGGTTTCTATATTTACCTAACCTATAATATACGTCAAAACGTATTATAGCTTTACGCAATATTACGCGACTCTGCTTTTATGTTATTGCTCGCCTCTGCCCTCTATTATTCTTTCCTCTCCGTGTTCGAAAGGGGGAGAATATAAAATGTGGCTACTAATAGAGCAGAGCTTCTTGTTTGACTCTTGGTATGTTATATCTTAGTAATTCGAGAAAATGGGAGCACTATGAGGTATTGTATTTGTTAGTAAATAGTAATTCTACGTTCAATATTCAGTTGAAGGATTGCTAGTCTTGTAAAGGTGAAGTGATCTTTGGTCTAGCTGAAGTTGTAGTGTGGAAGGTGATTTGAGGTGATATAGGGGAAGCAGCTACTTTTTCCTATGCTCTTATTTAACAAATAATAAAGGATTACAAACTAGCACATGTTGTTTTACAAAATAGATTATGAGAAGTTGAGTTGGAAGTAATATTTTACCTCCATTTTGGTCGGTTGGGTTTGCTACCTCTGTTTAAAAGGGGGGGGGGCTGTATAAACTTACGTGCATGTGCATAGAGAGCATTGTGTTAGAATTTGCAGCAGATTGTTTTTCTTACGAAACATACCACACTAAAAACAGTGTAGTCAGGTACTTTTCTCAGTGATTAATTATAATATCTGGATGGGTTTGCTATCTAACATTGTAAAAGGAACCACGTCATCCATCAAGCACACGTCGATTAATACTGTGCAAATATCACATTGCTAAATGCCTGTGCTGTAGTAAAGTAAGAATAATCTTAGAAATAATAGCAATAAAGCAGTTCCACATTATTATTGTTTAGACATCTCGATCCTACTCACCCTCCTACTCACCCTCTTAAATACATGGCCTTTTTCTACAGTACTCATTATGAAAACAACTCATAAAAAGAAAGATATCAAAGTACTTGGACGCTAAAATGCCATGCCAACTGTACTTATAATCCCCTACATCACGGTACTTACACTACTATCTTACTGTTTTTTTTCTGTCTTCTCGTCATTAATCTTTATCACTATACTACACCCTGGACAAAAACTATAAAATCATGGATTTCTATCATCAATGGAGTCCTTATTATATTTCGATGAAGAACAACAGGTAACATACCATCAGCTTTCATAATAACTATTCCATCCAACCACCTCTCTTTACTACCTTCACCCCGACAATTAAGGAGTCTCCTATCTACACTCAAGTTCATTAAGTCTCTGATCTATTTCCGGGTACTCGCCAACTTCCAGTACCAATCCCTCAACTACGCCGTATTCGAAATGTCTCGAAATACCACATCTAGACAAGCCGATTTCGAAGCCGCAAGGGCCGACGAGGAAGCACGAATCATCCACAAAGCGGGTTCACGTACTGAGAGGAATAATGCCGTTCTGGCTGCAACCTCGATGGCTAGGTTCCAACTCGATCCTAATGGTAATTCTAGACACAACAACTGTACCTATTAGACATGAAGTTATTAACAATTGTAAAGATATGGAGCAAGTCCTAGCTCTTCGCGCTGTCAGGGCCAACGGTCGAGTCTCGCCGACGGACAGGTTTCTAAACAGCAAGGCTCTGAACTCGAAACGAAAGGCTTGTCAAGACCGAGAACGTCGCCGTAGGGCGGCTGCTATATCCCCCGCGTCTGAGGATGACGACGACTACGATGATGAGTTGGAGGTTCCTGGCACAGTCCGTCGGAAGACAGTAGTCACCACTCGCAAAGTAGCCTCCATGGACCCCCCATCAAGTGACGATGGCGACGGAGAGGAAAAAGAGACAGTTGTCTCTAGTCGCGGGAAATCAAGGGCTACTAGCATCAAGGATATTACCAGGTTGTTCCGAAAGCTCAAGTTGAGCGTCAGCAATGAGCGCAAGGCAGAAAAGAAGAAACACGGGCCTGAGGGCCGATGGTTTTAATTTGTCTTTTATTTTATTTTTTGGAGACAGAGGATTAAAGCGATCGGTTGATCTATTGGCGATACATACAGCGATATCTAGCGGGATTTGGGTGATATACCTATATTTGCGTTTGGATACCCTTTAGCCTTGGTTTCAATAGAAAGGCGGTTTCCTATCTTTGGAGATGGTTGTATCTCGTTATATCTTCATGTAATATTTTCATTTTCAAATGACTATCTAAGCAAGTATTTTTCTTCCGTATTTAAGATAAGTTGTGTTTAAGTACTTAAAGTATGGGATGAATGACTATATATCTTACCCCCTTTTTCAGGTTTGATGTGGGTCTCGAGGTCTCCGTCTGCGAGGCACATTTTCAGAAGTAAATCACCAAGTTTAATACGTACGAGGCGTTTAGGTTCCGTTAGGAAATATCGGTTATTAATTTATTCACTCTGTATTGCAACCCAACTATACAGACATAGCCACCATCTCGGTCTTCGACATGTCATGTCTGTCTTAGCATTGCCCGTTTTCATTTCCCCGCTTCTGAAGGCTGTGCAACGAATAAAATACCTGTCAGATATAAATATTGTATACTGTAATAGAAAAAAATACTATTACGATAACTTCTTCGGCTTCGTTAGTTGGAAATATTTTGTACGCTGGGCGGCTGTGCAGATGAGCATGGGAGTTTTCAATTTGACTGCCATATTTAATCTGTACAATATTTCTTCTTTTATTCTTGGTCGTTCGTCCCCGATATTCTCGTCACTTTATAAGCCTTGTCACCTACTTGGTATTGTACACAAATTGCCCAGGCTATCTATACGATGACCAGATGCTCTATGCACCAGGCAGGCGTGGGGACATGCTCTCTGGTAGAAATAGCATATAATGGCGCGTGGGGAGTGGAAAACAAGCCAAAATGCCCTCATTGTGGAGTGATTTTATGGGTGGTGTTATGTCATGATCTAGACGTTATGGGACAGTATTCCGAAGTTTCCTGGGAAGACATCTCGATAGAAACTATAGGATTCAGCGAGATAGAACTACAAAGGGTGAGAGTATTATTTAACAGCGCGCCTTTAACAACGGGCAAAGAGAGACTCAAACCATTTTCATTCGACGTTTTCCGACGACCATGCGGTAGGTTTGACTTACCCTAAGTGTAAAGTATCGCTATCAAGTGGTAACTAACAGATTATTTTACGCAAGGTATTCCTACACACGCTCAAAATACTACTAAGCACCCGGGCATAGATTACCCTGGACAAGAAATAATGTGGGCAAACAGAAGCCGGACCTGGGATGTTTTAGAAGACTCTTCAACTCAGGAAGCCTTCGATCGCGCCGCCGGGTGGCTTTCTCACTGTATGGAGTTTGATGAACCCTGCAACCCGCCAGATAAGAACTTTGCACCCCGCCGCCTTCTCAACGTGAGGCATAGAGACCAGATAGGTGAGCCGTTCCTCTTTGAACCCAAAGAGCCAACAGCCTATGCTTGTCTTAGTTACTGTTGGGGGACAGATATAGGAGACGTTCTGAGAACGACAACATCTAACATTAACGACCATTACAAAGAGGTCCCTCTGGGTTCTATGCCTAAGAGTCTACGAGATGCTGTCATGGTCTGTAGGGGGCTTAATATCCTATACCTGTGGGTGGATTCCATCTGCATTATCCAAGACGATCGCGACGCCTGGTACCAAGATGCGTCTATAATGGACCAAATCTACCTCAACTCCCAGGTCACAATTTCAGCACTAGAGCCGAGCAGTTGCAAAACTGGATTTCTAGGAAAACAGAAATTTGGTCTTCCTGGGTGGCAATATGAAATTACGTCTCTGGTTACATCGGAGGAATTTATAGTTCGGCCAGGAGTCAGTCGAAGCGAAGAATGTTCTTTAGATAAGAGAGGCTGGTGTCTGCAGGAGGCGGTACTTTCTCATCGAAGGCTCTGTTTCAATGGAAATGAAATGAGCTGGGAGTGCTCATGTCGCAAAATTTGCGAGTGTGGGCACTGTGTCTGGCCAAGATACGGACAGATGGTGCAAAAGTACGAATCAAATGTCGCCCAGCTTGGAGCGTTATTAAGGGAAATTACTTCGCCATCTGCATCAGTACAAAAGATTGAGGTTTATAATTTAGGGGTTTCCGAGCTGCATGGGACATGGCTGAAAGGGAACAGGCTAACCGACGATATTGATGGAGCGCCAGAAAGGATCTATGACCTTTGGAGAAGGGTGGCATCTAACTATTCACGACGCGCAGTTTCTCGTCAGAGCGATAAATTGGTGGCACTCGCTGGATTAGTCAATATCATGCGTAAGAGCAGCCGGTCCGAAGCAAGCACTAAGAATGAATACATTGTTGGACTCTGGAAGAAGGAGCTTCATTTTGATTTAACCTGGAGAGTGGCTGCGTTCAAACCTAGGTCAAAGTTATCGGCTGATGAAGAATCTGATGTTGTGGATCAAGGACATTTCCTCCCCTCGTGGTCATGGGCATCTTGCGAGGGAACGATCAGTTATGATGATTATATATCACCGTTGTTACTTTGTCGCGGGCTTGGGTCCGGAATCAGAGTAGCCGATAAATGTTTTATTAAGGGTATTGAGGGAATTGCGGAAGATGGAACTCCTACAACCAAAGGCGGCCGTATAAGCTTGGAAGGAGCCTTGATACCTGTTGAACTGGCAATATTTGGTGAGTGTATTCACCCAGGTGGAGCCTTCACTCCTACCCGAGAAGCCGACGTTTGGCCATTCCCATTGGGATACCCTCGGAATGATATACCAGCGATATCAGCGTTTATAAGACCGCGAACTTTATGCTCTGCGAGAGTGTACCTCGATGAGCCCGCAGACTCAACAATGAGTCGAGATGATGCCCAAGCTTCTTGTTGGACCGAGGGACGATGTAAAGAGCATTGCTGTTCATGGAGTGAGGATCAGGATAGTACTAAAATTAGGTATTACTGTTTCAGACTCTATTCGTGGATCATGAACAACGATGCGCGAGATTCATTGCTTAACAGCAATCATGAACCAGGAACATTTATGACGGAAACATTGTTCCTTGTATTGAAGGCATCTAAACGTGTTGACGGTGCGTTTGAAAGAGTTGGCGTTGGCAGTTGGGCCGGGATACGGAAGTCGGAGTGGGATGTGGAAAATACCAACCTATTTAGAACAGCCAAGACGCGAATTATCGATATCATATAGAGAGTGTCATAAAACGGCTATGAAAGGGGTTGGACTTTTTATAATAAGTCGAAGTCAAGGTTAAACGATACCTTAATAAGCGTATAGTTTTCCTGACGCTCATTATACCTCTCCTTATTAGTGTCAAGTATTAACTAAATCGTTTTTGAGTATATTACAAATGTTATGAGACGAGTACTATATGGCTGAGGACGACATGTATATGACACAAAAGCCACAATGTCAAATAACTCAAATCAAAACTTTAAACCCAAGTAAAAGATATAGGTAAAAATACCATCATAAATTGTAAAAGACTCATCAAATTAATATTCAAGTTTTCAAATCAGAGCTCATTTAGGCCCAATTAACAAGTGCTGTATCTTTCTCAAAGGCCAATCGTCTCTGGTGTTAGTATGATAGTGCGGGAGGTTGCTAAGAGCGGTTGGGCGTGCATGTGCAAACCCTTAAAATGATAACATGTACGCGTGTATATACTAGTACTTGGGTACTGAATATTTTGACTTCATAGCTTAGGTAGGTTTAGAGTTCCTTGAAGACTAACAGGGCTATTTTCCTGTCTTGGAAGCTTGTCTTGTGACAACATGTTGCGTTCGATGCTTGCTGAAAGTTTACACGGTTATTTCAGCTTGTCTAGGAGCTGGTAACCCTGCTATTACTAGTCGCAATTCGTTGTGGTATTAGATCAATCGATTTAAGAGTTTGACATGCCAATGAGGATACAAAAACACCCACACTGGTCTGATTTTGGTTTAATTCTTACCGAGCAAGGATATAATTTAGTCAAAGAGGTTCACTATTCTTAGAAACCTCTTCGTTTCATTAGTAACCCCCTTTTAAATATATATATATTATCTGTTATGGGAAAGGGAGGGTTGGGAAAATGATATGCCCTCAAAATAGAAGAGGAAGGAATAAAACAGTAAGCGGAGATAACTCTTGCTTCATAGTGCTGTTTATCTCGATGGATATCGATTTTCTTATTCCCAACTCTCTGTATTATTGTAGACTAAGTGTCTCATTGGAGGCCATTTCTCTTCTAGCTAGACCTATCAGGGTTATAGCAAGTTTAGTTAAGTCTCTTCTTAGACTTCTTTCTATCTAGAACTGCAAAAATAATAATCAACAATATACCACTTGGGCTAACTCGTATGCATCCTAGTCGGAGGCAAGGGGGGGGGCTTAAAATATTGTACATAGACCTATCAAGAACCTAAGTTGATCTACTAAAACAAAGAGCTCTTAGAAATCTCAGAGGAATTCCTCCAGCCTTTTAGTTTGCTTTTCCTACCATTATCACCTCTAATGTTTTCTACGGAACAGCCTCTGAGACACAAAATAACTGGCTAAGGATTACGTCTTAGTTCTGCAGAATTATTGATGGTCTATTAATTATTCCGATACTATCGAGATTTCCAGGTAATACAGCATAATAATCCTATCATTTATCTCTCCAATACTCCTTGTAGATTAAAATGTCTCTCCTCCTCGAAGAAGTAGAAGATACGAAGGACTTCGACAAGATCCTCCCTGTCCCCCATGCTGCCTTCGGCGAGCCCTATAACTCTTTGCGTAGATGGCTTATCCCAGTCTACACCACAGTCGAAGCAGCAATCGAAGATGCCAAAGCACGGCACATCAAGTCCTGGAAACAACACGACGGCATCTAGTGGGTCAAAGTCACGGATAACGATTCCGGTAATATTATTGGAGCAGCCGGGTGAAAGATTCACGAAAGAGTGAGCCCATCTGATGAGTCACAGAAACCAACTGATGCACATTGGCACATTGAGGGCACCGAAGAGAAGGCTTTTGCTGGAAAGCAAAGCTCGTTACAAACTTGAAAGGGTTTATGAAAGATAGGATGGCTAGACCTCATATTGGCGTGTAGCCGCGCACTACATTAGGTTATATAAGCTAACGTCAGAATATAGAACTAGAACAACTAGTTGTACATTCTGATTACCGCAAAAGGGGTGCTGGAAGATTGCTTACCGACTAAGGGATTCAGAAAGCTGATGAACTGGGATTAGAATGCTGTGTCGAGTCTGTTCCCTTTGCTGTACCCATATACGAAAGGTATGGGTTTGGCAACGTGGACTGCCTTGATCCGAACTTAACTACCTCTAATCCAAGTGCTAAATGGAGGGAGTATGAAGCAGATGACCTGTGTGTCTTCTTGGTGTGGCGCCCGGCTGGTCACGATTACCGATTACGGTGTTGGAGAAGATAGACTGCCACTGCCACTGTCAACTGTTTAGAGCTTGACTTACAGTGGTTTGCTACCGGATACGATACATAAGTACCTCATACAGGTGACTCACTGTACCGATAAACGTTACCGGAGTGACATAGCATAGACCACCACCTCAGGTAGCAAGTGAACGGTCGCCTAGACTGCTTAACAGCTGGCCGTCACTAAGACGACTCTTTCTGCCCGAACTTAGTTACCGCCCTGTTTACCGCCCTAGTTGCCGCCTTCAATGCATATTTAATCGTGCCGTCCTTTGGCTCTCTGTCGGAAACTTTTCTTCACTTTACAACTTCAATGTTCACAACCACAACACCTTTACAAAGAAGTTAACCAAAGCCCAACTACCCCTTTAACACTTTAATTCAATTATTACTTCTCCAATACTATTCGCTTTCTATAAAGTATAAACATCCTTTCAATTACCATATACTACATCCTTTCTTAATCAAACTACGCATCTCACCTGTACGTATTGCATCCTGTTATCTCTTTTCAGGATCTCCTTCGAAACAACCAGCGCTAACAAAATTTCTCAAAGACTTATTCAAAATGTCAACACAAAAGGAGATGAAAGTTGTCAATACTAGTGCGCCAAATAAGCGCATCGTGGGACTTGGTACGGACTCTGTTGTGTCTAAACAAACTTCGGTCGCGGTGGCGGCTAAGGCAGCCTTTGAATCGACACACCCATCTAACCTCCTGGCTCCCAAGCCTCCAAAAAGACACTTCCGAAAGAAGTTCCCGAAAAAGAAGGACTCGGAGGGGTTCCCCAGGGATGGGGCTCAGACGATGAAATATCCATCCCTGGAGACCTGCGGTACAAACACCGGATGTGGTGGGGCAACAGTCGAGCCCGTCGATGCTGCTCCTGCTGCTGCGACCTTCATTGTATCCCAAGGTGTGGTGCCTGGTGTCGTTCCCCATACTACTCCAGATGTGATGCCTGTAAGCCCTGATGACAAAATAGCTCACAAGACCAATGACGTGTCTCAGAAGCTTGTCTTGGAGAAGTTCGACAGGCCTGATCTTAATGTCGACAAGGAGGAGTTCCGGAACGACATGAAGAAGTACGGCTTTAAGGGTCTGGCAGCTTCACGATGGGCTTAAACTACTCTTTTATCAGAGGTGAGTAGTTGGACTTATGCTAGGTGCCTAAAGGAAAGGGAGAATTCGGCTAACCCAGTATATAGCAAGTTAATTCACCCATACATACAGCTTGATGTATTTTTCTTGCTCAGATCACAACCCGTGAAGCCTTTTTTGCGACTTGCAAATCGCCTGGTGAATATTTTTCAAGTGAATTACTCATCGATTTCATGGGGAGGGCGAGTGCGCTACTACGACATGGTTTGCGCTGGTCCGCACGACTCACTTACAGATTCGCTTAGTTGTCACAACAAGATAACTTTGTTATTCTTGAGTTCTCCTTTAATAATCCTAAGCTCTAAATACCCAAAAACAAACCCCATCAAGGCACAGACATTCAACCTTCTGTGAGAACCTAAAGTAATAGCGGCAACATGGAGGACTGGGCAATAATCTAACCCTGCCTCTATGGCGGCCCGGTACGTTAATACTTCCTGAACGGAGCATAGGATTACTTAGCTAACAAAAGAGCAGCGGTGGCCGTCGCCGTAAGTTGGGTGGCCCTGCTATGGATTCATCACACTGGGCATTATGTTGGGCGCGGGTAGGCATTAAACTAATAACCTAATAAACTCAAGTCCTACCAGATGATGCGTCCCAACTGGCAAACGGGCGACTCTAGAGGAATAGGCTGTGATGGTGTCTGAAAAAGGCTCATCGAGAGCCCAATGGCCTGTCTCTTCTACCAAGGTTCGATCGGAGAGGAATACATTGCTCCAACGGGCGAGATAGAGCAAGAGGCGGAAGAGGCTTTGTGGCGCCTGCGGTCCCTGACATAGGCCTTGGCAAGACATGCCAGGCCAGGAAATCTTTGAGATTCCACGTACTGCATGGTCCTGTTGCTGCTGCCGAGCCTGTCTCTTCGCAGCGTTCTCAACATACTTTTTGGCGTGCGTAATCAACTTTGCCATGACCTCTTGTTGCTATGGTCTCTCTCAATTGCCACACCGACGTCAAGATGTCTAGGAACTCTCAAGCTAACGGGGGCAACGCTTGTACGAAATCTTTCACGTACGACAAGGAACCCAAGAAACTATGGGAGGAGTATCAACACATCATTCACATCCACGAAATAATTAGCGAGAATTCAGCTCGCCTTCATCTCTTCATGGCCGCACATCCTCGTGGGCACACCAAAGATGACATAAAGTTAGTACGTGGCGTCGAAGACTCAGAAACATATTGGAAGAATGTTGTGGCGGCACACCCGGTAGCGTCTTGGAAGAACACGGCGCAAGTTATAATGTCTCTCGGAGATATCGCCCTGGAAGCGTCAGGCTGAGGAGAATGGAGTTGTAGGAGGGTTCATAAGAAAAATGGCATTAGGCTTGACAATATTATTATACTTGTGTACACACACAGACACAAGCCACAAAAATCTTAGGTAGGGAAAGGGATGGTCTAGTCTACTTTATATCAAAATAATGATCTTAATTAGGGACTCGATATATACATAGGGTATAGCAAATCCAAGTCCGACGTTGTTTTAATAATTATTATATAAAACCAGACTCCTTGGTATAATAACTGTGACCGAGTATCGAATTATGAGTAAACAACCTAGCCGCCGCTCCTCATAACCGATTCATCTTAATATCAATATCTTTAGTACCTAAGCACGTTGGCCGTAGAATAATCCTTTTTTTCTCCACCTCATGATTTCTCTTTTCCCACGTAGATTAGGTACCTAACATAAAAGAAACTACTGCCGCGTCGGACTTAGAGGACGGTTGAAACCGCCGACGCGATTCATGTACTGGCGGTACTCGGTCTTCTTCTCCTTGCGCACAGCACCTGCGTTATTGCCCAGGACATGCGTGCCCTTCGTCGTGCCAAAGCCGCCAAAACCCATCATAGCTTGCATCGCGCTTAGGCCGCCATCCTCTTCCACCACTACATCATCATCATCATCGTCTTCCTTGTCCTCGTCCATAGCGTCTCCTCTATCCGGCGTCTCGGTGGTCCGCCTTCTACTATCCTCCGGGTCTTCCTGTGCGTCGTGTTTGCCCCCTGTTGCGCTCCTACTGCCGCTACCGCGGCTGGGAGCTTCCTCGTCAAATGGTTGGTATTTGGGTTTGGTACAGACTTTGAACGATAGTGATGATGCGCTGGGCTCGGGCTTGCTGTTGATGAGGCGTGATCGGGTTGGGAGCGGAGAGTTGCTGTGCGAGTGTGTGGTGCGGTCTGGTTTGCCGGCTGGGCTTCGAGCGGGTGATGCAGAGCGCCGTGGGCTTCGGTCTCGTCCCGAGCCTGTTTTGTAGTTAGTCCTGATCTTAGATATGCCTGGAACCAGTTGCTCTTGGGGAACTTCGTCGCGGAACATACCTCTGGCTGCGCCCTCGTCTCTACCGCGTCGCCTATCCCTACCCCCTCCCCTCCTATCGTGGTGATCATTACCTTTAGCCCGCACTCTATCGTTGTCTCGAGCTCGATCTCTCTCAGGCTCGCGACGGTCACGATGCTTTTCGCGGCGGTCTTGTCGGGGCGATCGCGATCTAGATCGGTAGCGACGATCTTTATCGCGGTGGCTGTCTTCTCGATCTCGACCGCGATCATCCCTCTTGTCGCGTCCGTCTGGTTCGTGGCGGCTGCGACGTTCGGACTCATCCCACATCTGCTTGCTGTCCAGGCGATTTCTTCGCCGGCGAGGTTGATCGGCCATGCTTTCCTTCTTGTTGCAGGATTGATTTGGAGGATGCGATTTTAATTACGAATGCTGCAAGAGTCCAAAGCTTGGCCGGTGCTGTTGATGTACCACAAAGTGAAGAAGGCTCGGGTTTTATTCGGATTTGTCGTATCGTGTTTTACCCAAGTTTCTTTAAATAAAGAATCAATTGTCGTCATGATTAGAAGAAGTGTTAAATGCACTTGATTATGCACTTGATTATGCATTCTGATTGGACAATATTGATATGAGATCTGGATTACATAATACATAGGTAGGTGACTGTAAAGCTACTTAGGTACGGATACAGAGGTAATCTTCTACCGTCAACCCCACTACCGTAAGAACCTACATGTACCTACCTAACCATCTACAACTTCAATATTTACATACCTAATGTTAGGTACCTTATACGCTTACATGCCTCCACCAATATTCATGACGGCAGGCTTATGCCCTGCTGTTGCAAAAGCTGTACCATAGAGTCTAGGCCCAAATCCAACGCCAGCTCTAATATCTGCGACCGAGCAGCTGCATCGCCAATGTTCAGATCCAGTAGCAGTCTCACCATAGCAGTGTGCTCAAGCCGGACAGCTTCCAAAAGCGGCCACCAGTCGTTGTCGATTGGCTTGGCGCCGTTGTCAATTAACTTGCGCACAATCGTCATACTCCCGCTCATAGCTGCAGCTCTTAGTGGTGAGCCGCGCTGCTGCATGGTTTGATAGTTGGGATCAGCACCGCGCTTCAGCAGTAGATCAACGATTTCTTCGTGCCAGTACCGTGCCGCGCAGGATAGTGGGTTGCAATTAAGCCTTTCTCCTCCGTTGATATCGGCACCTGCATCAAGGAGATATTTTACCATGTCTAGATTGCCTAGCTCGGCGTAGCGGACCAAGAGGAACTGCTTGTCTAACCCCGGATCTTGAAAGAACGCTTGAATATACTGGAATATTTCTGGAGTCTTGGAGCACAGAAGAGCAGATCGGAGGTCTCCACCTTGCTTGGAGTGCGGATCAACCCGACCGAATGGGTAACTGGCAAAATCTTTGCTGTCGGGTGTCATTCGTGAAGGCGGATATATCGCTAGACGGAGTATGTTTATATCTCCGCGGATTGACGCTCCTTTGATAGAGCCGGGTCCGATCTTGCCTCGCCAGGAATCGGCTTCAAATGGTAGACTCTCAAAATCTGGCAAGTATTCCTGAAGAAACCTTAACATATCGGCATTGCCTGCCCATGCGGCCAGCTGCATGGGCGAAGGGATTACATGATTGTTCACTGTTGGACAGTGACCCTCTGAAAGTAACTGTTTAGCTAAAGGGATGTTATCGAGATAGGCTGCTGCTCCCAGGAGACTCTGACTTAGGTTTAGAGTACCGCTATCATGTGGACGGTTTTCTCGATAACCTTGCATGTCTTTATATCGCTCCAGCGCCAGCCAACACAAGGTATCGACCATCTCATTATATTCTGCTTGTGTCTGGCGGCAAAGATTCTCTGCTAGGTGCCGTATTTCGACGAAACAGCGTACGTTGGGGTCATTTTCATTCTGGACTCGATAGACAAAATAAGAATGCCATAAATCGGCGGCCCCATACTGCTTCCGAATATACCACAGCTCCATGAAGTCGAGATCATTATAGCGAGGTATAATGCTAAAGTCATCAAGAAGCCGTGACTCGAATAGAGCAGGATGGAGGCAATTATAAAATTGTTCTGAGTTATCATCAGCTGGTTTCTAGCTTGGAGAAGATGGGAGTCGACCTACTGCAGACGAGCTTTAGTCTAAGGCCTCTTGTGACGCCACGGGAAACGATAGCCTGAAGCAAGATCATGTGCATTAATTCGACTGGAAGGTCAAGTATATGCATCTTGGATATTGTCCGCGACTCGCGAAATGGGAGAGTCTGTTCGTATGGCTACCTAACTATCTTAGTCCGGATTTGTAGGTTGATACCTGGCTCGGATATAGCTAGCGATTACTGACGATTACGAGTGACAAACGCTGCGGTATTTCAAATAAGACGCGGAGAAAGAGGGAAACGTCTTCGCATGCTAACGGCTACAATCACGGCCCCGATATTGATCTATGGGACGGGAACTGGTGCGAGGCTGACTCTTCTCGAGTAGTCCTACTCTAGTTCATGTTTTAATACGTCATAAGCAGTAGATTTGTCACAATATTGATTCCTTTAAGGATGAATATAAAAAGACTTTTATCTTTATAAATCGATCCATAGACTCCACCGCGAGATTTAGTCACTGTGACGTTGACTTCGTGAAGGAAGTTGATATTTTTATTTCACTGGTATGTCGATCTCTTCAGCAGTCTTACAGTTTACCGCCTTTGCAAGGATGAAGCACCAAAGTGCAATATCTCGTTAAGTTTCAAAGCCTCGTGATCAACTACATAGCCTCTGAAGTAGTTATTTCCTTGGAAAGTTTGACAAACAGAAACTGGTACTTTAAATCCTCTTAGCATTATTTTCGTCGATGGAGCTATGATATGAGATCAATTTTCTAAATAAAAAAGTCGCGTGCGCAGGGCTATTCGGATGGATTGCCGTACGGTAGCAGCTGTAGCATAAGCAACCAATTCCCCAAGTAGCCAACTATCAGATTAGTCAGCCATGTTAGGTAACCTGAAAATCTTTAATCTTATGTAAAATAACGATATAATATACGTTCTTACGATTTTACCTCGATTAATTAAATTATTAAAAATATCATTAATTAAATTTTATATATAACTTATTTAATACGTATTAATTATATAATAATACTTTTTATAAAATTAATATATAAATAAAACATTATTTAATAATTTTTAAATAATAAATGTAATTATATTTTTAAAAATTAATAAAAAAGATTTTATAAAAATAAAATCTTAATAATTAATTTTTTTATTTAAATAAAAAATTGATAAAAAGTTATAATTTATTATATAATTATATTAATTATTAAATTTAAATCATTTAATTTATAATATTTTAAAGTATATAAGAAAATTTAAGTATATATTAATAAACATACGATAAAAAAAATATTGAACAAGACTTAAACGTCTTGGCCTTGGATCAAGCCTTATTAGACCTGATATCAAAGACTTTTAAATGATGACTGATGATGAAGGAAAGGAATGACTTGTATTAAAAAGTGGATGATATTATGTAAAATGGGTGTGTGCGACCATAAATGGTACTTATACTAAGAATATGATCACATGATCAGGGTCAAGGTCACCTGATACACCAGCACCAGTTTAATATACGGTATTAAAATAAAGTTATTACGATTTGTTATTATTTATTATTATTATATATATATATATATAAGTTAATTTAAAAGGTAAACCTTTTTAAACTTAACTTTACGCACGTGGTGGTACGTAATTAAATTATATAATTAATTATTTTTTATATTTTAATAAAATATTTTTTAAACTTAATAACATATGTTATATACGATATTAAAAAAGTTTTTATAAATAAGTTTAAAATATTTTTTTTAATTATAAATATATTAAAAATTTTTAATATAATATTTAAAAAAAAATTAATTTTTTAACTTTAAAAATAAAGTTAATTATTAAAGATTATTTATTAAGTTAAATCTTTTATAACGGATAAATCGGTATTAATATAAAAAATACGTAAAATAAAACTATAAGTTATAAATATAAAAAAGTAATAAATATATTTATATTAAATGTATAATTAAATAATAATAATTATAGTTATTTAATTAAAAAAATACAACGAATATTAAACTTTTATATAATTTATGATTTAAAATTATATAATAATACCTTTGTTTTTAACGATATAACATTATATTAATTTAATACGTTTAAAAAATAAATTAATTTTTATAAAATCTTTTTTAAACCGTAAAAATTAAATGATTTATTTTAATTATATAAACGATATAATACTTTTTTAAATAAAAAAAATAATGGTAAAAACCATAAATTTATTAATTAAAAACGTTATAAACATTAAATTAATATAATGTTACATTATTAAAAATAAAGATATTATTATATAATTTTAAGTTATAAACCATATAAAAGTTTAATATTCGTTGTATTTTTTTAATTAAATAATTATAATTATTATTATTTAATTATACATTTAATATAAATATATTTATTACTTTTCCATATTTATAACTTATAGCTTTATTTTGCGTATTTATTTTATATATCTTATTCGATTAATAAATTTTTATAATTCTTTTAAAGTATAATGTTATTATTAACTGTTTAAAGCTTTTTACGAGGATTTAAACGTTGAAGTGATATGTTATACTTTATAAGAGATATTAACTCTTGTTTAATACTATAAATAATTATTTAATCTGTTAATATAAGCTTTAAAGTTAATATTAATATATAAAACTATTTTTAAAAGTTTTTAACAACGATTAACTTTAAATGTTTAACTTTAATAAATGTAATTAATTAATTATTTATTTAAGTTTTTTAATTTTTAAATACTTTTATAAATAATATTATAACCTTTATATAATTATTTTAAATTTCGTACTTTAATACGTATATATTTAAATAATTTTTTAAGATATTATATATATTTTAAATCGTATATTTAAATTATTATATAATTTTAAAGTAAAATTTTAATTTAATTATTTTTTCTTTTTATTAATTATATTTATTTTTAATACGTATATACATGTTTAATTTTTTAAATAAAGTTTTTATAAAGTTTTAATCATTTTTTATATTATTTTAAAAAAAAAGAGGTTAATTATTTAAAATTAATATTATTAACGATTAATTTTTTAATAAAATTTCCGCCTTTATTATTATTTTTAATTAAGATTTAAATAAGTCGAATAATTTTTTATAATTTTAAATTTAAAATATTTAAAAAAAAGGTTTAAGTTAAACCTTAAGTTCTTTATATATATTAACGTTATTAAAGTTTATTTATTTTTAAAATTAATAACTTTAAACAAATAATATAAACGTTTTATTTTATACGTTTTAATTATTAAAATACTTAAACTTAAAACTTAATAATAATATAATAAAATCTATAATAAAATAATGGGTAAATAATAATTTGTTTAAAATTTATTTTAACGCGTATATATCGTATTATATAATACCGGTTAAGATTTTATCCTTAAAATTTATACGGTTTAAACGTATAAGATTTTTAATTATTATATAATTAATAT